ATGAAGAAGACGAACATGTCGTGGCTTGTAAGAAAATAACAAATTGAAGCTGAATCGAGATAACCAGCAGATTAATCACTTCTTCACATCATCTAGTGCTTCTCCTTTTTACTTTCTGTCATCTCATCATCTGTCCCTGTCCTCCTCTCATCATTAAAGGCCTCGCTCTGTGCTGCTGATGGATCTGACATCTGTCCATCTCTTTGTGTCTGTGGCAGCGTACTAAGAGCCTTTCCTCACCTTCTGTGACCCATGGCTCCTTCTCTGCCTCCAACATTGCGATGAAAGCAAACACGTGCATGGTCGTAAACACACAAGAGAGAACTGCCCTAAAGCTTTCCTGTAATTACTCAACAACAGTACCACAAGATAAGATTTGCTTTATTCTCCCATGCTTGATCAGTTACCATCCACCATGTTTCATTAGTAATTCTGTTAAAAATGTATTTTCCAAAAAAGCATAAAAGCATATCAATGAAACAGATTTCAAACAAAGTTTAATATTTTAGAAAAAACTTTGTGAAAATCCCTATTCAGCCAGAATCAAAGTGGCCATTGTCCATTCATTTTCTCATGGAAATAGTTAATGGAAAATATTTGTCCGGATTTCCAGTTTCTCTGATGTTTTGTTAATCTTTTATGCTGTCTTTCATCCATCCACCTTACTTTCACTGTAATTAATTGATTTATTACCTCAGCCAAGAACATTTTGATTAATTTATTTGACCAATGGCAAGATATTGAAAAGACGACAGGCGTCATTTTTTAAACTTGTTGGTAGAGTGAAGCAAAAGGCTGAGAAAGAACCCAATCCTAGTTTCCATGGGCTGGAAACACACAATATTTATCCCTCCAATTTTCATTTCATTTTTCTAGTTTTATCCAAACATATCTTTTAATTGACATCCCTGAACATATCACCATACAGTATTATTGTATGCTGTCTTTAAGAGCGACATGTGATGCCTCTCTGATCTGTCATGTCACATCATCACACTTCACTGCTCTTCCTCTGCCCTCTCACATCCTATAAGTTACATAAATATCTACTCGCTCCAGCTTCGCCGACGGCCTTTTCCTGCCTCTTTCTTGCCTTTAACAGCTGCCCTGCTGTCGCCTGAACTGCACAGTACATATTCCTTCAGATGAACTCTTCAACTTCTACTTCCTTTATACCAATAAAAACACATTTGTTGGTTTTGTAATTCCCAAGATCCCATTGTAAATGTATACAAATACAGATGTTCCTCTATCACAGTGGTTCTCAACTGGTGGGTCGCGACCCAAAAGTGGGTCGCGGACCCGTTTCGAGTGGGATGTGTGAGTGAAGAAAAAAATAAATGTGATGTGATGGGATGTGTGGAAAAAAAAAAAAAAAAAATTAGAAGTTTTTTTTGTTTGTTTTTCAAGCTTTTATTTTTAAGGTCCGTGAAAAACAAACAATATTAATATGTCGGGTAGTAATAGATATAATAGTATTTCTAAAGATCTCCAAACCCCCCTTCTGGTGTTTTCAGCATGTCTGCCTTTTATGTACGGATACAAGCGGCCGAGATGGGTTTTCTCCGCAGGGTGGCTGGTGTCTCTAGGGATAAGGTGAGAAGTTCGGTCATCAGGGAGGGACTCGGAGTTGAGCCGCTCCTCCTTCGCGTCGAAAGGAGCCAGTTGAGGTGGTTCGGGCACCTAGTTAGGATGCCACCTGGGCGCCTCCCTAGGGAGGTGTTCCAGGCACGTCCAGCTGGGAAGAGACCAAGGGGTAGACCTAGGACCAGGTGGAGGGATTATATCTCTTCGCTGGCCTGGGAGCGCCTTGGGATCCCCCAGTCAGAGCTGGTTGATGTCGCCAGGGAAAAGAAAGTTTGGGGCTCTCTGCTGGAACTGCTACCCCCGCGACCCGACCACGGATAAGCGGGAGAAGATGGATGGATGGATGGATGCCTTTTATGTTCAGCTTTGATTCCATCATCTCATTAAACCTTTTTAAAAGCATACTTCGGTTCTGTGAAGGGATATACGGGATATATGCACTGTACTTCACTTGAATTAATATTGTATGCTGAAAAGCAAATATATATATATATTACAGCACAATATTTTGTTGAATAGATTTGAGTGGTTCAAAATGGTGGGTCGCGATTTATTGAAAAAGTAAAAAATGGGTCCCTAGGCCTAACCAGTTGAGAACCACTGCTCTATCAGATGTTTCACATGCTTTTTAGTTATTTGAACTATTCTTCCTGTGTGTCATTTTCCACAGAGAGTTTGCCAAAGAGAGGGAACGTGTGGAGAAGAGGCAGGAGTTCCTGAAGCTCCGCCGGCAGCAGCAGATCGAGCGAGAGCTCACCGGGTATTTGGAGTGGATCTGCAAAGCAGGTCAGACTCATCTCTGAAACAGCGGGAGAGCTGGCTCCTATGTGTTTGTTGTGTTAGAAAAACATGACAAATTGATAGAAAGTCCCTCTCTCTCTCATTTCTCTCCCTCGCTGCAGAGGAGGTGTTGCTGGAGGAGGAGGATGAGATAGCAGAGGAGAAGTCCCCACTGGACGGTGCGTGGTACAAGAGGAAGCAAAACCTTCCAGGTATAAAGAAGGCTGAGTAACTGCTGCCTGCTTTATCATGATACATCATTTCTAGATGTATTACAGCATCGTTTTGCTTTCCATAAATCCTCCGTAAAGATAGTGATCTGGTTCCCTTTTGTGAAGTGGATATTTAAGTCAACTTCAGGCATATTTGACTGTATGGAAACCCTGAGAAGCAAGTGAGAACAAAACCATTCTGGTGGTCAGTTTTCTCAGCCTGATTGAATTGACTGAATTGTTTTACTTAAATGTTTTTGTTTTTTTTAAGAATATTTGGAAAATGGAAAATTCTGTGAGGATAATATATCTAATTTGAATATATTGAAACAAATATATTTCCTGTAGAACTCAGGGTAGTGATGCACTTAGGCCTCTTGTGGCTTAAATTACTATTACAACAACAACAATTATTATTATTTTTTTTTCACCTGGCAAAACCTTTTTTGCCCAATTATTTAACCCTTTATTATTTTTAGCACACATGGTCTTCCAATATATATTATCTTCAATTATAAAACTTTATTCTATTTATTTTCAGCCTGTTATTATAATAGTTAATACCAAACTATGCGTAAAGGCTGTCCCTCCACTACACTAACCCCTAATGCACAACTGTGTAATTGTGCCGTTTGCAGCCATGCCAGCCAACTGTTAATCATATAATCAGCACTTACGTACATCATTATTTAAGTGGTTGCCATGGTTTCCACTCTGTACTCTTGTTGCCTTCCTTTGAAAGAGAGCACACTGTTATTCAATTACCGCTCTCCCTCGCTCTCCTGATGATGTCAGTCCATCAGCCTGGTGTGAAGGCAAGGGTTAATTAGTGGGATTTACAGCTTAAGTCTGATTGGATTTGTTAAAGTAAATTCACTATGCCATGCTCTCAACACACACACACACACACACACACACACACACACACACACACACACACACACACACACACACACACACACACACACACACACACACACACACACACACACACACACACACACACACACACACACAGTAAAGTGACAGCACCTAGCTGCCATATTTTCTCAGTTAGTTTATATCAGGGATTAAAACGTGTGCGCCCACAGCCAGAGGAAAACCACTCTGATGTTGTTAGAGCAGAAAATAAGGAGTTGGCCTTCAAAATGAATGACAGGTATGAATATGGGGGTAAAGTGCCAATCATAGCTGCCTGACTCAGTACAGTTGAATTAAAAAGATTATTCAATCATTTAACTGGTGTATAGAGATAAGAAATTGAGCAAATTGTCCTTTGGGCTTTTTTTTTGGCCTTGTCGTTTCCTGCAAATTATTTCTACCTAAATAACTTATTTTCATGACTTGAAAAATGAAAAAGAGAACCAGATCCAGCTCCCTATAAAGAGTTATAATCCCACACACTATTTGAATGTATTTTCGAGAAACACTTTGAAACACTGATTATGAATTTAATTGTCTTCCTACCTTAAAGATCATGTGTTAATTCATTAAATGTCTCATAGTGTAACGAGTGAGATGTACAGGTCTTTTGTTTTACTTATCATAAAGAAGGTCTAGGTGCTTTAAGAATATCAAATCCACGGACAAATCCCGACGGCCCATATTCAGAAACTTTGCCTTTTTGCTGTCGTGCTGCCCTAAGGTTGGGATGTTACAAAGGTAGGGGGTTCAATCAAGAAAGTTGTAATTGGAAACAAGATGAGGTTATCTCACAGCGCTGGCAGATTCTTTCCCAGTTTTGTGCCACTCAATTACAAACTAAAAGGATTCCATAAAAAATGTATTTCTTAGTGTTGCTCAGTATCAAAGCCAGATCGTTTTTCTACTGGTTTTGCCTCCCAGAAGCTTTTTGTTGAGCGGAGATGGTGGATTGTAGATGTTGAGCCTCAGCCCAGCGCTCCACTGACACGTGACGATCTCCCATGTTGGGCCGGCGGTTTATCTTTCCAAGGCTGGCTTCAAACAGGAGGGCAGAACATCTCCAAATGAAAAACAGGATTGATGTCTGCTATTCATAGGTTCCAATTAGCTCGCCCCTCTAATTTGCCTTACACACACACACACACACACACACACACACACACACACACACACACACACACACACACACACACACACACACACACACACACACACACACACACACACACACACACACACACACACACACACACACACCATGTATACATCACTTCAGGAGACATTACATTGACTTACATGCATTTCCTGGAGACTTATCCTAACCTTAACCATAACCAACACATGCCTAACCCTTAACCTTAACCTTACCCTAACCCTAAACCTAACCAAGTCTTCATCCTAAAATTAATGATTCCCCTTATGGGGACCTCCAATTTGTCCCCATAAGGGAGGCGAGTCCCCACACGTGACTGTGTAAATAGATTTAGGTCCCCACAAGTATAGTAATGCTAGGCCGCACACGCACACGCACACGCACACACACACACACATATATCCTGCAAGAGGAAGAAGGTTGTTCTATTGAAATACAATTGGTAAATGCTTGCTTTTTATGTTATATTGACGTCTTGAAATAATTGTATACTTGATCCCTTTTTACAACTTCAAGTTTCAAGGCTTTTATTGTCATGTGTGCATAGCTACAGTGTAGTTATTACAATGAAAATCTTAGGTCACAGGCTCCTCCAACAGTGCAACACAATAAAACAGATAAAATAGTGCAAGTAAATAACTTATTTCTTATACTGTGTTAATGTACGCACCATTATACACTAAAGATTCCTTGTGTGTTTAAACCTACTTGCTGATATCATATTTTACGACTCATATCTGATCATCTCCCCCTTTCCTCTCCGTCCTTTGTTCCTTACAGTCCATAAACGTGGCAAAGCGAAGAAAGGTAAAAACGACCTGATAGGAGGCGAGGAGGGGGACGATCCTTTCGCTGACATCTCCTCCGTCCGTAAGTCTTCTTATCCTCCGTCACCTGCACCCCACCTCCCACCGTCACATGCTGTCTGTTCTCAAAGATGACATTCAATATAAAAGCCACCATAAAAGCCTGTCTTTACAATGAACCCTGACTCTGCTCTCCATGTATCAGATGTAATGTCACTTGAACAGCAAAAAAAATGTATGATATCTCGCATAAACGTAAAAAATGAACATTACAGAAGCAGATTCTGCTCCATTAAAGCTGTTTCTCCTGCAGCAGAGGCAAACCACCTTGAGGGAAAATAAGTATAATTAACTTTTCTAATTAGACTGTTACATCCAAATGGCAGGAGAACCACCTGCAGCATAGAATTATACTTGTTTTAAATTAATGGATAAAGACAACATGTAATTGCCTGTCTGTGGGTTGGAAATGAGCAGAAGCATGATAATTGAAACCATTTGGTTGCCTTCAATACTTTTTTCCTATTATCATAAGATTGTTTTCCGTTCTAAATGAAGTGCTGAGGGAATAGAGGCATGCTACAGTCAAATTTTGTCTCCTGTCTTTTCGCACACGATGCCTGCAGTCCTTCTCCACGGTACATATATTAGGTGCACATTTTTTAATGAGCAGCTGCAAGAGAAATTGAAGTGTTCAGGTGATTTTACGCTTTGCTTTTGGTCCCCTTGGGGAGGTGTTGTTACTTTTATAAGTTAGAGTTTTGGCCACAAACATCTTTCAGTGCTTGTTAGCAGGTATGAAATGAAACGGATCTCTACTCAACACATCACTATCTTATTATGCTTCTGTCTTTTAAACCATCTGCTCTAATTTCCTACAGCATAATTGCAAAGCAGCACAGTTGTTGCCCACACTGTGCACACTAACAGGTGAAAAGTTGTAAACCACATAGTCTGTTTGTGTACGATAGATTTAACATCTACATTTGGAGGATCCGGTAGTGGTGGAAAGTAAATATGTACATTTAATCAAGCACTGTTCTTAAATATATACAATTTTCACATGCTTGTACTTGACTTTAGTATTTCTATCCTATCCTACTTTAAAGTTATAGTCTAACATGGATGACTCCCAATGGCATGAACAGCGGTGTGTGAATGTGTGTGAATGTTAATTAGTTGTGAACAAATCCAGTACAGTGAAAAATGTCTGTATTGAAATAGACAAGTTTCAGATGTGTTGGCTGATGCTGCTAATTACAGTAACAGGAATAATACAAGGAAAACGCACACAGTGATTCAGTGTGAAAGCTGAGAAACGGTGACACTACACATTTCCTCTCCCTCCAGCTCCTCCTGGCTCTCCGTTTGGTCGGGCCAGCGTGAAGAGCAGCGGTAAGATGGACAGCTCCTCGTACTTCCGGCGCAAAGAGAAGAGGATGCGCTTCTTCATCCGGCGCATGGTGAAGGCTCCGAGCTTCTACTGGATCGTTCTGTGTCTGGTGGGCCTGAACACTCTGTGCGTGGCCATCGTCCACTACGACCAGCCCGAGTGGCTCACCAGGGCCCTCTGTAAGTCCCACACACAAATACACACTTATACTGCCACACTTATTGATGCTGGTGGGCTATAAACAGTTTCCTCTGTGCCTCTTGGAAACAGACGCAGCAGAGTTTGTGTTCCTGGGTTTGTTCCTGACTGAGATGTCCTTGAAGATGTACGGCCTCGGAGTGAGGAATTATTTTCATTCCTCCTTTAACTGCTTTGATTTTGGGGTAAGTTACTATTCACTATGACTCAAAAGTAGATATTTAACGCAATAACAGCACGTGAAAACTTTATTCTTTGCTCTGTTGTCTAGGTGATTGTGGGAAGTATTTGCGAGGTGATCTGGGACATGATTAAACCCGGAGCATCGTTCGGTATCAGCGTGTTGAGAGCGCTGCGACTGCTCAGGATATTCAAAGTCACCAAGTGAGTTGAATTTGAAACTTCATTTTCAATTTCTTCCATTAGAAAAAATACATCCTTTTAATTTCACCAAATTCTCTGTTTTGATTACATACCCAAAGCTTTTTCTGCATTTTGCACATTTCCAATCCTTATTCTGTTGTTTATCAGAATCACTACATGGAATACACTTCTGTTTGCATTCCACAAAGCAAGATTGGAAGTGCAGAACCGACATTCCCAAACATATTTAAACACCTAAGTAGGGGTCAAACTTAATCAAAAACTCTGTTCCATAATGCAACTTTATACTCTATAAAATACAGCGCTGGCCAATAGAAAGAATGCAGGTTAATGGCATTTCCTCATTGGCTTCACTTAACGGACCAGGATGTTGCCCTTTGAATGCAACACAGTGTATTCTTTCATTAGACATTCATTGCCTTCATTGTTCGTCACACCTCCTTTTTGTATTGCTTTCTGTTTTACACGTTCTGTGATATGACTGATCGCATCATAAGGGTTTTTGAAAGAGCTTATCCAGAGCTACAGAACACTTTGATACGACAGTTTTCACAGATTGTGTTTTGACAGTGCACTTAAAGTAAGAAAAAACTCTGGTTCTTGCGGTTATTTCACAAGACATTGTTCCTAATGAACTGGCAAGAAAACACTACTAAAACACAATGTAATTGGCTTAGAGATTTGTACGTTTACTTATTTTAAAGGCACTGCTTTTTGGAGATATAAGGTTTCTGTTGCAGGATGCTGCACTTTTTATAAGTGCTGAAGTGTCCATTTTTTTCTCTCTGAACCGACAATCCTGTTAGAGTTCAATGGCAATCCTTTTATTTCATTAGATTAGCTGTAATCCTGTGATTCACTGGAACTGACAGCTGCGCACCCTGACGCATTGATCTGTTTTATGCCACCTACAGCTCGCTCATATTTCTATTTGTTCCTCTCAAACCTCCTCAGTGTTTCTGTCTTTCTCTGTGTGTTCTCTCCAAACAAAAAAAGTAATTTATCTGTGTCTGCGTGCTTTCCGCTTCCTCTCAGATACTGGAACTCGCTCAGGAACCTCGTGGTCTCCCTCCTCAACTCCATGAAGTCCATCATCAGCTTGCTCTTCCTCCTCTTCCTCTTCATCGTGGTCTTTGCTCTGCTCGGCATGCAGCTCTTCGGAGGAATGTGAGTATTCTTTCTGCCCCGTCCTGTTTTCTGATCCCTCTTTGCCTCGCTTTACATCCAACACACACACACACACACACACACACACACACACACACACACACACACACACACACACACACACACACACACACACACACACACACACACACACACACACACACACACACACACTCACCACACACACACATACCATGTATACATCACTTCATGGGACATTACATTGACTTACATGCATTTCCTGGAGACTTATCCTAACCTTAACCATAACCAACACATGCCTAACCCTAACCCTTACCCTAACCAAGTCTTCACCCTAAAATTAATGATTCCCCTCATGGGGACCTCCAATTTGTCCCCATAAGGAAAGCCAGTCCCCACACGTGACTATGTAAACAGATTTAGGTCCCCACAAGTATAGTAATGCTAGACCACACACACACACACACACACACACACACACACACACACACACACACACACACACACACACACACACACACACACACACACATCTTCTCCATCTCTTCACCTTGGCCCTGCGTGGCGGCGGTGACAGACGTGTTGCCGCAGCAGCAGGAGGCTGGCAGAGCAGCAGCAGCCACTGTGCCCTTTGATATGGCTCTCAGCAGGGGCCCCGGGTCTCCTAATGGTAGGAACACCTCATGATTCTGGGCTGGCTGCAGATAATCAAAGGCCTGGCACCCAACCCCGTCTGACTCAACCCTGATAAAACCAACACTTTGCATCTTGTCTCCTCACAACAACAGCCTTTATTTATTCAGGTTTTTGGCTCTCAAGACAATTATCCTTAACTTTATTTCTAAAAGCCCCAAAGGGATACTTTAGGCTTATTACGACTTGGGTCTTATTTTCCTCTCAGGTTTAAAACATTATAAACAAAAGGGAAACAGAGCAACACTGACGTCCAATGGGACATGAGGCACAAGCAGGTGTTGTGAACAGCTGAGACAATGTGAGTGGTCTCTCATTGAACAGTGAGACTGTGTGCACAGCTACGGTAAATATCACGATGCTGATCCATAAAGCAGTGATGGATTCTTACAAAGGGCCATTTTGGCATTCAGTTGACATGTACCTTTGTTTTCTCTTACAAATGAGTTTGACTAGCTTGTTAGGTTTGTGTACAACCTGTCCTATCATATTACAGCATGTCTACAGTACCTATCAGAGATCTGCTGCAAATCTCAGGGAAACTTTGACAATATTCAACAAGCTTTGTACACTGGAAAATGAACGGGGAGCTCTAGGCTCCAAGTTTCTCTTTAGCTCAATAAGTATTTAAAATCTAAATTGGGAACTTACAGGAGCCAGATAAAACAAAGAATGGTCAAAAATGATGCAGCACAGACTGACTTTTAATCCCCACTAAAGTTAAATACAGTTATTCCCACACTTCCCTTGATGCTATAATAATAATAATAATAATACATTTTTGTAGACCCTGTGTAAGATTTCTTTTTTTAATGTTCATTTAAAATAAGAAATAAGGGCTTGTGCTCTTATTTCCCTTTCAGAGTTTTTGCTCAACAGAAAAAGCAGCATTTGTTTTTTTATATCTCTTTATTTTATATTAACTTGCATTTGATAATGACGTAAATCTGAAGTAGAGGGAAGTCCTCAGGTATCATTACTCTTATATCATAATACCAAGATAAGGTTAGTGATTACAGGTAATTAGTGATTGTAGAGGATAACATTTTTAAAGGGACCCTCCCAATCCCCTGACTTCGTCTCCTGGGACTGACGGCCTTCACAAACACCACCACTGGATGTCTCTGAGGCAGCAGGCTGTTGTCATGGCGCCGAGCCTCACATCAGTCTGCGCCATCATTAGCATCACATCAGACTCTGGAGATGGACACGTGTGAGATGGGTCTGACGTCAACATGGTGTTTCAGACAGCCGAGCACACATTTTCACCTGAAAGTCTAAAAATATACAAAGCGTGTCAACTAATTTCATTTTCTTAAGATAGGAATCCAACAGGCAGTATACTGTTAATTGGCTTGCAGATAATGTCATTATTTATATTGATACCAAAGAAAATCCATCCTTTTCTTAGCCAGATCATTTCAAGGTATTTCAACCCTAAATAGAAGATTAAAACACTTGTTAATAATAATAAATGCTTTGCACTATACCGACTGTATTCCTGGCTCAGTGATTATGTTCCTGCTCTCAAAACACCAAAAGTAATCTCCTGGTAAAATTGTGAGAATTGAAAGATAAACAGCTTGAGGCAGAGGAGCGTCTCCCCACTGAGACTCACAGGACATCACCGACTGTTTGGAGACAATATGTGATAAGCTCAAACGGTCAGGATTGACTGTAATAGGAAGAGGGATTTATTTTTTCTGCTCGCTGCTTTCTACTTTCTGTTTTTCTTTTGTTGATTGACTCTGACTTTGACATTTACAGAAGAGATGGCATTTCATTTTCTCAACTTCAAACTCATTTCTGCACTCTATGGAACTTAAAATATAATATCAATTTGAACCAGTTTATTGCAAAAAACCTCACAAATCTTCACAAATAAAACCACTATTTTTGTAACAACTTTTGCAGTTTCAGCCATTATAAGAATAACAACATCATAGTCATTACAATAAGATCCAGTGAGGAGTGACTAGTGGCAGCCCTCACATACAGTACTGTATCCAATGAGCTGCCATTTGTATTCAACACTCCTCATATTGTAAAAGCCAGTTCTATTTCCTGACTTCTGCAGGATGCCTTGTGTGATTCATGTCACAGTTTCATCGCTCAGCAGTTGGATGTTGTTTGTTATTTTGTAAACCTGCTGCTGTTGCTGTAAGTATCAGATATGATGGGAGGGGGGGGGGAGTTTGGCTTCACATGAATCTTGTTTTCAGCATTGATTTAATGAAGTCCCCGTGGATGATGTGCGGAAGCCAAGCAGCACGCTCCCAAACCCTATTATCAGAGTAAACAGAGGTCGGAGCACACAGGCGCAGCAGCATCCACCACCATCGACACTCCCCACACCGAGCCCGAGGAGGGGGAAATGAAAATGGAGAAAGTGATGGAGGGATGAGCTATAGGTATAGAGAGGGTTGGTTGATGGATGATGCAGTAATGGGAGGGAGAAAGACAAAGATAGAGGAGGGAAGCATGGAGAGAGAGGGTGTTTCTCAATGTCGGGGACGCTTGCTTGGTAGCACATGTCTTCCGAGTCACTTCCTTCAGAAGCTAGGCCAGAATCCTTCCTGGCATTCGGGAAACGAAGAGTGGAACAGGCGAGCAAGTGTGCAGGTGTGAGAGGCCCCGCCTTACATTTTCCGCCACAGATTTTGGGAAATTGGCTTATTTAATTAGTTGCCCCTCCCCCTCTAATCTCTTTCTTCCCCCGTCTCCCTTATGCACATATTAGGGCCACACCAGTACATGCTTTGGATATGGGGTTCTCAGTGGTTCATCACATGACCAATACTATATAAATACCTGAACATTATAGCCAAGAGTAATAGTGGAACATCTCATTTCACAAGCTCACTCAATGTTCACTCAAATGGGAGCCAGCACGGGTGACACAGTTACTTTTGTTACGTATCTTATATACTTCACCAGTTAAAGGTGGGGTAGGTGATTTTGGAGAAACCAGCTCGAGTGCGCTGGAATTTGAAAATACACAACCGGAAGAAATCTGCCACTTCCTCACAGAGCCCCTCCTCCAACACACACACGAACACGCACATGACCAATGAGGGCACGAGATAAGTTTGTGCACGAGATGGAAGGCTGACAGGCAGGTAGGCCATCCAGTTATTTTAGCGGCGGCTAAAATGATTGGTCGTGCTTTTTACAGCGCTACGGCTTCCACAGATGACTTTTCTTTATGGATTTTTTGTCAAAGCACTTAAGATATTCATTGCTATCGGGATGTTAAGAGCATTCCATGGAATATAACAAAAAGTGTATCTCGAGCCGGTTTCTCAAACTTACCTACCCCACCTTTAAGCCTCAAAATAACAAGGCCACAACTTCCTCTTGCTCATGTTTACAGTTTGATTACAAATTGGAGTTAAGACTGTAACATTGTTTCATGAGCCTGTTTACACAGTTAACAGTTTCCTTTTTTAAAACATCAGATTAAAGCCAATGGAAACCAAGATTGGGCCAGTGCGTTTCACTTGTACTAAAGACAAACTTTCTACCTACATTTAACGAATGTCTGCCTGAACGTGACAATACCACTACGACTACAAACTGAAACCAAAGGGCTTCGAATACCAACATGTTGTCCCTTGAAAGTGTTGTTCCGTGTTAACAATTGTCGTGTGTTTAAGACATACTGTCATCACAAAATGATCTGATCATCATTTTTGCCTGAAATCGGCCTCTAAATCTAAGACACATACATACTGTGTAAATACACAAACACATATCACAGCTGGTTTCTCTTCAACAGAGCAGATCCTGTCATTTTTGCAGACGGTAACTGTGGTAAAGGTGCTCTACTCCGTCTTCTCCTTTACAGACCCTTCTTCTTCCTCTTTGCTCTCTTCCTTCGTGGGTTTTTTGTCCCAACACATGACCTATCACACGATTTGAATCATATGGTTGTTCATAGAAGTGTGAAAGACGTTTCATTCATTCCCTTCAGCAGAAAAAAAGATGACATTTCAATGAAAAATATAAACTTTTGAACCCATATTAAGGGCTTTTGGGGGTCCATATGTATATGAGAATAAACACGTTAAAGGAACATTGCTAGGATATAAGCTCTTGCATGCACATGCTATAGAGAAAATCATATTTAAATCACTCCTAATCAGTGTCTTCGAATTCAGCAGTGCTGTTGTGTTAAGCCAAAAAACCTACTGTCACTGTAGGACGTCTGTATGATACTCTATATAAACCTGCTTCACATACACAGCTGTAGTTTTCATTGAAACTCTTGAAGTAAAGTTGTTTTTGTTTTGTCTTTTGAGGCTAGCAACTCTGCGGGGCATATCCAGGCAACTTTGATTATCTCAACTGAAAGCACATCTTCTTCTGTGGTGTTGAAGTTGTCACTGTCAAGCAAGGAGACACTTAAATACCCAGATCCTTACAGCCAACATTCTCAGTATTATGAATACATGACTTCTTTAAATGACAGGTACAACTACATTTGCTCAATATATTCGATGTTTTTACTCCCTGTAAGTTTTTTGACGTGCTGCATCGCAGTTTGTAGCATGTGACACATGTCACATCGTGCAGCCCTGAGCTGCAGAGGCAGTGTGTTTGGGACTTGAACGTTTGAGCTGTGGCCCCCTGGGGACTAGTGTTTCCTGCTACTGCTGCTGCATGTTTCACTCCCTGTCCTTCTGTCTCATCCATTATCAATACAAAACAACTTGTTTCATCTATGAATACTCTAGTCACCACCTGAAGCTGTAAAGTATTCTGGAGAACAATTCTCCTATGCCCATGTGTCACTTCTTTTGAAGGACTGATTTGATGTAGACCTTTTTGGAGCACATTTTGTTTTCATTTCCTGAGTATCTAACTGTTTGGTTTGGCTCAACGTAATCACAAAGTTTAGGGTATAAACGTATAGACTTGATTGTTAAAGAATACCTACATTTGGGTCTTCTTGTTGTGCTTTCTACTAGTTTTGATCGTGTTACTTAAAGAGGATTATCCTTAGATTAAACCCAGTAGTGTCTTTATATTTTAATTATTGGTCATTCTATTTTCCTCTCTTTATTTAATGATGTTCTTACTATAATTCTTTCAGGTTTAACTTTGAAGAAGAGACCCCAACCACCAACTTTGATACGTTTGCAGCAGCCATCCTCACTGTGTTCCAGGTATACACACACACACACAGCACGCACGCACTCACACTCACACTCACACACTCACACACACTCTTAAAAATGAGGTGCACTTAATATCATCAACATTAACGGTAGAACATTGACTTTATGGAAAACGAAGGATTGTTATCAGGTATTTTAATTAGAGGGAATGACTGGTCTGTGTACCTTCTGTCCCCTAATGAGCTCGTTGATAATCCTTCAATTAGTCCTTGCTCGTAACCCTTCACTTTGTAAAGTAATTTAATTCTACTCTGTGAGATTTGCACAAAGCTTAAAACTACGGCGTCACTTTGGATCTCTTGTCTTCCTCAGATTCTGACGGGCGAGGACTGGAACGCTGTGATGTACCACGGCATCGAATCACAAGGAGGCGTACATGGGGGCATGTTCTCCTCAGTCTACTTCATCGTCCTCACGCTCTTTGGAAACTGTATCCTCTATGACAAATTAAACTGAAGAGTGTTAGAGTCAGAAGGAGCAGGATCAACATGTGGAAATGGTTTTAGGTTAAATATTGTGTTCATTTTTCCAGGTGATCAGCAGGTAAATAGTGTCAATCAACATCACACCTAAAAGAAAGCGAATGTTTAAGAACTTTTAATAATCATACCTTAGATTCTTGTAACTCAGTTAGTATTAGTAACTTAGTGGGAATGTTCAACGGTACTGGGACATGTCCTTAAAGTTTAAAGCTCTGGTTATTGGTAGCTCTATTATGAGATACGTGAATTAGAGACCGAAGCCTCCACAGTCACATGCATTCCGGGGGCCAGAGCGGGCGACGTTGAGGCGCATCTTAAACTGCTGGCTAAAAATAAACGTAAATACAGTAGGATTGTTATTCACGTCGGTGGTAATGATGTTAGTTTACGCTACAATCAGAATGCACCAAAGTTAATGTGGAGTCGTGTGTAGATATGCTAAAACAATGTCGGACACCGTAATCTTCTCTGGTCCCCTCCCCAATCTGATCAATGACGACATGTATAGCCGCATGTCATCATTTCAGCGCTGGTTGTCTCGGTGGTGCCCAGCAAACAATGTGGGCTTCGTAAATAATTGGACAGCCTTCTGGGGAAAACCTGGTCTGATTAAGAGAGACGGCATTCATCCTACTTTGGAAGGTGCAGATCTCATTTCGGCAAACATTGAGAGTGGAAAGCCCTACTAAAAGCTTCTGTGTTTATTACACGCCTTTTACAAACCATAAAGAAACAACATAGCATACTTTTCGGTTTATGAGTTGTGGAGTTGTAAACCATCTTTCTTGGGAAAAGCATAACAATAATCTTTATATCGGCCAGTTAGGACTGATACTAATTACTAATTGCTGATATGCTCAATAAACATGGACCCTCAATTGCAGATGTGGAAGAACCCTGCTTGTTTCCCAAATATCGGGCCAGCAGGCGAACTGACGGATTTATCAAATAACAATTTTTAGGCCCTTTTCATTACAGGATATATACTGTCTGTACTTTCTCCTGAATCCTGTTGTTCAGACACCCTACTGAATGTGTTCTTGGCTATCGCTGTCGATAACCTCGCAAATGCACAGGAGCTGACTAAGGTAGTCCCGGTCTTACTGTATAAAGGTTGTATTTTAGGACCAATGAAAAATACATATTAATATAAAAATGTGGTAGTTATTCTTTCTACTTCACAGTGAAACATGTCAAAAAGGCACCTGAGAACAGGATATTAACAGGTTGTACAAGGATGATTGAATGTCTCTGTTTTCATTGGCTGAAGGATGAGGAGCAGCAGGAGCAGGCAGCCAATAAGAAGCTGGCGTTGCAGAAAGCTATGGAGGTGAAGGAAGTCAGCCCCATGTCAGCAGCCAACATCTCAATCTCTGCGTAAGTGTCCAATAATCTCTCTCCTCTGACAGCAGCTGTGTTCCCCCGCGCTGGAGATAAACGTCCCTTTGTCTTCCTGCTCGTTGTCTTTTCTTCCTTCACACTCTAACATTTCTGTGTGTTTGATGTTCTTTCTCCTGATTTATTCCCACTAAGGGAGTGCTCCTGATGTGTTGTCTACTTTCTTCATTATTTGCTTCAACCAACAATATGTTAGTTTGCAACAGCAGTTTATTTCACACATTTTGTTTCCCCTTAAAGAAAAATATCATCTAAACACATTTTGTATTAGGTTTTCATCCAAACACTTCTTTAGTGGCAACATGTCACTCAAGTAATGTTAAACTACCAGAGAGAAAAATATAAAAGTAAACTTAATTAAAGTTAGAAGTTTCCATTTCCTATTATATGATAATTACATACCCAGACAGCGACTGTCATTCAAAACCTTTGGCCCACCCACCCACGACATGTCTGTGATTGACAGGTATGGGGGGGGGTCAACTCAAATTATGTGCGCTCCCAAATTGCGACTATTTTTAGGGCCTAGATGAACACTAAAATGAAGAGTCAGTCAGGAGGAAGCAGCCGTTGAAACAGAGCTTAATCTGCGATTTATAGCTGCAATACTCTATATAATGCTAGAGGCTAAAATATGTTGATGTTTAATTCCCATCTGTTCTGTTAATGTGAGGGGAAAAAACCTTATAGTGCACCAGATAGATTTTATTGCGAGGTAAATACTCTGAGTAATTTGTGTGATGTGCAGTTCAGCACATCCATCTATTCATTTAATTAAGTGAAATCATCGATTCACACTCGCAGTCAGAAACAGGTCATTAGACTGTACTCAGTGATCAGGAGCCGGATGAGCTGCAGAAGTTCAAACACAGCATCGTTCTAACGCATCTGTTAAGTGGAGTTTTACACACTGCTATATCAAAAGAGGTCGTACAACTTAAACTACTTCCTATTAGAAGATTATCTGTTACTCTGTGACTGAAGCATTATAACGGTAGTGATAAAAACTCATAACGGCCATTTAATGGGGTGATAACATTCAAAATGGTTGACTGACAATTGACTAAGGACATTTCTAAGGTTTATTGGTGCAACCTGATTAAGTTAAATCCCTAGTTTGGAACCAACTAGTAGATAAAAAAAGTGCGAAGAACATTAACTTCTGTTATGGGCCCCGAATAGCTAAGAGCTTTGCATGTGTCATTCCCTCAATTTTCTCCTTTCAAAATCTATCTCTCTTTTAAAAAGGATATACTTGCCAACTATAAAGCAACATATCCAGTACGTATTTTGCACCCCTAGCTCTGTCAAAAAGTTCATTTTCAACATTTCCCTCTCACTGTCATTACTGTTGTTCTGTGATCCTGTGCATTACCCCCAGTTAACTGAATATATTCATTTGTACACTAAACACTTTTGTCAGTAAGCTCATACACAGCTGCTTTAATTGTAAGTGAACTGTTAAATGTACATGCTGTCACAGGGTTTCATTACAAAACAACTACAGCCATTTTTAAATGAAAGACCCTATAAAGATGATTTAACAATGTAAATGTATTTTCTTCCAGTCAGTAACTCTCTTTTCTTGTTTTGGAATGAAACTCCTGACATGTTTCCAGTTATAGTTTGTTGTCATTATTGAAATATCTCTACTGACGAACATGCTTCCGTTGTGTGTGTTATTGCCGTATTTGCACAGTTAGTTGTTGACTGTAAGACGAGAGGGGCCAGGTGGACAGACTGAGCGTCCACCTGGCCCCCTCGGATTTGTGTCTCATTATTCTTTTGTTTTTTGTTCTGCATGTACAGTTTTGTAAAGCAAAATCGAGATGCAATCTCTCGCAGGTCGTCCATCAACAGCATTCAGTCAGCGTGAGTTATCACTCTCCGTTACAATGTTCTCCTCCTTGTCTCCTCTATTCTCCTCTCCTTTCCTTGGATGCTCTCCTCCCCTTTCTTCTGCTTGTTTCCTCTCCATGTATCCTACTCCTCTTCTGTCCTCTCCTTTCTTGTGATCATCTGATTTATCTCCATTTCAATCAATCCTACATCTTGATACTAACCTCTCCTTGCCTCCTCTCTTCTCCTTTTCCTCGGCACCCTCATAAAACTTAAAATCTTCCTTTCTGGTAAAATGAAATGTACGATAATTATACAAACCATCACAAAAGACCTCAGAGAGCAGAAAAACACAGTAACATGCACAATGACAACACGTTTGAAGCTCTGAGGCCAGTCTGAGTGTCACTTTAAGTGAAGTTGCTGATGCATAAACACACTCTGGCTTTAACCAACCATTGTGTACTTAGTTGATGGCTGCAGCTCCTCAGTTTGGCGCATACAGTAATCCATCTTCTGCTCTGTGCTCTCTGGTGTGAATAATTTGTATATAAATGTTTTATTTCTATAAGCGTTGCCATCCCCGAAGGCAGTTTGAGATTTCCAGTCTGTTTGTAATCGTAGACCCCGGGACAGCACTTTTAAAGAAGAAATGAGCAGAGGCTAAGATTGTGCTCTCCTGCCCGGCGATCTGATGTCTCCATCGATTAAAGTGCACCAGAAACGCTTATTTGACAAAAAAGTCTTACTAGAAGTCCCTGTGATTTCTTTGATATTGCCCTTCTTGTGTGTTTGTCAGTGTGTGCATGTGCTTTAATATATCTCACCAAAACTCATCCTGCTCCTGCAGTGTTTCATCCCTCACTTTCCTTTCTGTGATCTTTCAACACTGTGTGTGGATACCTGTCCTTTGTCCTATGTGTCTTCTGTCTGTCCTTTAGGAGTTATTCTGTCTACTACTCTCCTGCCCGACGAATCATGAGGTACAGGTGACCAGATGGAACAGACTTAACTAACCCAGAAAGCCCCATTTTAATAAATCATACTGCGTGGAAACAGTATGCAATGTCTTCATATAGCATGGAAGGAAACATGGACACATCAACGGATTTTTTTATGGCTTGTTTCAGGTCTTGTTAAGAAAAAAAATCACATCTCACCCATTAGAGACGTGTATATCCTCGTTCTTCTTCTGTTAAAGACAATACATGCCAGGAATGACCTTTACTCATAGCATGTGGGTCATACCTGCCCCATTCAACATGAGTCAAACTGAATTTAAACAATATGTCTGTTTCATTTTACTTGCATGCCAGATTAGCAAGGTTTGCTAAATGACAAAACAACTTACTTTACTTAAAGGTGGGGTATGTCATTTTGGAGAAACCAGCTCGAGTGCGCTACAATTTGAAAATACACAGCCAGAAGAAATCTGCTACTTCCTTACAGAGCCCCTCCTCCAACACACACGAACGCGCACATGACCAATGAGGGCACGAGATAAGTTTGTGCACAGATGGAAGGCTGACAGGCAGGTAGGCCATCCAGTTACTTTAGCCGGGCCGGCTCAGATGATTGGTCGTGCTTTTTACAGTACTACGGCTTCCACTGATGACATTTTGGATTTTTTGTCAAAGCTATCAGGTATGTTAAGAGCATTCCATGGAATATAACAAAAAGTGTATCTCGAGCCGGTTTCTCAAACTTACCTACCCCACCTTTAACACTAGGCATACTAAAGCAGCCTGGTCTCCTAAAAATGATGTTCATTTACCCCTTTTGACTGACTTGGTGTAAGGGAAACAAAGACATGAAGTAGCTTTCATTTGTGCCGACATACTTATTTGTAATTCTTCACACAGCCTCAGACAGCTGGTTTCAGATTTGCTCTGACACGTTTTTCCTGATAATGGACATTTTGATATGCCCCGAAATGATTTGGCTCATTGACACTGTCTCTCACTGATTAAGTTATTATAATGAGAATTGTCATGGGACATTGTGGCCCTGTTAAAGCGTAGGTTCTTATTTATTCAAGACTATCGAGATACAACGCTGTAATTGTTCCTCTTCTTCGTACTGGTCGCAAAGAAGTCCCTAAAAAAATAGCTTGATACATTTTTATTATTACAAATGGGGACCAAAACAAAGTCATGGGACAGTCAGTTGAGCAGAATTGAATGGGCATGTTTAGTATTTGGTATGGAGAGTACAGTATTCCCTCGGCTGTGGCTCAGCAAGCACCAGGCTGTGTGGAACAAAAGGGAAGAGTAACTTTGGAAGATACCTACTCGATTTGTTTAACATCCATTATATCTATCTTTAATTTCCTGCTAAATATGCTTTTCTTAAGTATGGAACAAGCTTTAAGCTGATGTATGCTTCTGATTTAGTCCTGCAAAGCCTATTTTGTGTCAGTTTTAATCATTTAAACAAGTCCAAAGTAGCCTTGAAAACCTCTTTGATGAAAATACTTGCAATGGAATTGGTCATTTTCCTTTTCCTTGCCCAAAGTAGCAATTCATTTGTAGTAGAACAACATGGACACCACAGACAGGGTAACTAGCAAAGCTGGAATCAGTTAAACACAATTACCTCATCAAGGTAAACCATGGATTCATTTAGATAGTACTGTATGGTAAAAAGTTCATCCCAGTGCATTAAATTCACTTGTACTGCCTGCATCCAAGACTTGAGCATGTACATCCCTCTGCAATAAGCTAACTTTACCATCTAAGGTGTTGGTTTATTCAAACTATACTTATTTTGCTATAAAGGATACTTTCTCCCTGAAGCATGGTAAGTGAAAGCTTTACCATAGGGAACATTCGTGCTGACGCATCCATAGACCACCTGGTGTCTGCTTCATTTCTTACTTTACTTATTTAAAGAATTAGATAAAGAAATGTAAATGTAGTGTTATTCGTAGAAGACCGTGTGGCTATGGATGAAACAGTGGATCGTGATGTTCACCCATTGAAAAAATAACTCATTAAGCAGAGAAAATATATAGTTGTAATATGTTCCTATGTCATAGTTTTTTCATCTCCCGTAATTCTTTTCTGTTGGATGATCCCTGTTTGCAGTAAGGAGCAGCTGCGCTCTGCAAAGTCCATGTCAGTGTGGGAGCAGAGGACCAACCAGCTGAGGAAACACAACATGAGGACGAGCAGCGAGGCTCTGTTCAACGAGCTGGACCCTGAGGAGCGCCTGCAGCTGGCCTCCGCCCTCCACCTGCACCCCGACATGATGACTCACCTGGACCGGCCGCTCGTGGTGGAGGCCAAGAATGGCGACAAACCCTGCAGGTCTCCAGACGGAGGACGCGAAGAGACGGGGGAATTCAGGCACGACGGGATGGGAGAAAACCAAACTCACTCCAGGAGGCACCACCGGCACCGCGAGAGGAACGGGGAGGGCCGGGATGGAGGGGAAGGCCACGGAGGGAGGCACCACACCCACCACAGCCGGAGCAGAGACCACAACGGGGACAGAGAGAGGAGGGGGGATAGCAGCCACAGCCACGACGAAGGAGGACAGGGACACCGGCACAACCACCAGGCCGGCTCCCCTGAGGAGGACAACAAAGACTTCAGAGGAGGAGAAGAGAGAGGACACCGCCACCATCACTCCCATCGTTCACCCAAAGAGGAGAACGGGGTGATAGCCAACGGAGCACAGGGAGAGCACAGGGGGAAGGGGGGAGGAGGAGGGGAGAGCAACGGAGAGAGGAGGGGACGCTGCTCTCGGATGGTCAGAGCGCACTCTACTCTCGATGGAGACGACTGTAAGAGGAACAAGAATGGATTCAAAGGTCACAGGTAAGACTGCAGCCATTACACTCTATAAGTATTCATTATTGGATATGCAATTAAAAAACTATACAGAGGCCATGCTACATCCTGACTGTCCTAAACTATTCACAATTATTAAAGATACAGATACAGTCCTACATCAAATAAATTAGACATTAGGCATTTTTGCACTTCTGGTTCCATTGTTTTGTAGCCAATAGGTTTTCAATGGGTGTTTTGTAAGAGGCCTGAAATGAGGTCTGTGGTAAATACAAGTACAAGAGATGTACATGTGTTATACTACGACATAAAATATGCCAGTAATGACACCACTCCTGAATTCTAAAGCATTTGGGTGTCTTGTAAAATGTGTTTTCTAACACACTGACCCTGACCAAAGGTTCATTGATGTGCATTTGCTGACTCTGTAGAGCAGGGATGGGCAACTTGGATGGTGGTGGGGGCCACATAATGTATGTACTGGCCACCAGGGGGCCGCAGATTCACTTGGAACACACACACACACAAATTCCATGTATTGTATGTAATTATTAACAAATATACTAAGTCTGACATCTGCATTGACATTTTACAATCTTTCAGGGAACATCCTCTACTAAGCTCACTAAACAAATATCAGTTCACAGAAATGTTATCTAATTTTTACAAGTGGCATGTTTGTATTGAACAGGTTATTTAACAGTGGAATACAACTATTTTAAACTATTGGAAAGCACGGAAAATGTGTGTGCATTGAGATTAACCATTAGATGACATAAACATGAAGTCATGAACACTAACCCAGACATTAGTTCTCTAACTTGAACCTAAGACACTTGTAGCCAGTCTCTGCATTCCCCGTATTCCACAATAAGGGAATGTCAACACAGACACCTGTCAGCCCGCACTCTGCTGTTCCTCAGCGCCGCTCCCCCTCCCTCCCGCTGAAATTATGAATGAAAAGCGTATAGTAATTAGGGCTGCATGATTTTGGGGAAAAAAATCTAATTGCGATTTTTCTGACAAATATTGCGATTCGAATTGCGATATTTGTTTTTAAGCGACCCAACGGAAGTTTATTGTAAAATGTGGCCATATCTTTACATTACATTACATTGCATTTAGCTGACGCTTTTATCCAAAGTGACTTACAATAAGTACATTCGACCAGGAAGACACAACCTTGAAGAAAACAGAATCATATAAGTACATCAGGTTTCATAGAGCCAAACATTTCAAGTGCTACTCAACTGGCTTTAGGTAAGCCAGTCCTTTATTAGTATATAAGTGCTTTGTTAATAAATCTATCGCTCGAAGTGGAGTCAAAAGAGATGAGTTTTCAGTTTGCGCCGGAAGATGTGCAAGCTATCTGCTGTCCTGATGTCAATGGGGAGCTCATTCCACCATCTTGGAGCCAGGATAGCAAACCCACGTGTTTTTGCTGATGGGAACTTGTCTCCGGCTAGGAAGGTCGCACCAACATGCTCGCGTCTCTAGCACCCCTGCAGCCGAGCTACGAGTGAAATAACTAAACTTACATGAAAGTTCTGTTGGGTTGCTTTAAAGTCAAGCTTCAGTTTAAGATTCACCCTGTAATAGAAACATGTGATGGAGCATTACTAACCTGACTCAGATGCTTTGTTTCACCAAACCATCTAAAGCTCCATTGGAAGCCATTTGGAAAGGGCAGGCACTTTCAAAAATACTTGGCAGGTGATTGGATCAATCTGTCTATCACCTTCTATCATGGGCCACTTCTGATTGGTTAACAATGGCTGGTATATGTGGAGCACAGCACTTCTGATTGGTGTGGATGACTGACACACAAGAAGAAAAAAGAAACCGCTGGCTTTGTGATTCGATAATCGCATCATTTCAAATCGCGATTTCAATTTAAAGTCGATTAATCGCTCAGCCCTAATAGTAATCATAGATAACACGGCAGGGTCCGTGACAGTTTGTTTTCATCTGATTTCAAATAAACAAAGTCTTGGTTTTTAGAATATTAAACTTGTTTCGCCAAATTCAGATGATAAATACAACTTTGAAGCTTGTAAAGGCATAATTACAAGCGGTGACTTAACGTCACAGCAGGCGTAACAACAGCCGGTGTTTCTTGTGAGCGTTCGTTTCCCCGGGAAACAAACACAATACACACAAACGCCTCACAGATTATTTTGCGGTATTTGGCTGCCGAACAAAATCATGTACACAGCTCGCGACGTAACTAGGAGTCTAGTGGACGGTATCAGTACTACAAGCCCCCTGGCCGCCATTTGTTCATCCCTGCTGTAGAGGTTTTGGCCCCAATCTGCATTTTCTTGGTCTTCTTTGAAAAAGCATGTGAGATCGACATATTGTGACATATTGACACAGTTATGAACACCAGCTACGAGTTGTTGTGTTTTGTGTTATAGTTCTGGTCTAGCGTTAGCTTTTGACTTAAGGCTGTAGCATTTTCCAAATTAATACAATTGTCTTTTGTTTCTGAAGATGATCTGGCTTAATAAAAAGACCAAGTATCATAAACTTATAAACATATACACATAAGCTTATTTTCTTCGATAATTTAAAAGCCAATTAACCTCTGGCTTTCTTTTCAAAAATACTTATCCGAACAACAGCACTGTTTTTGTATTATAACTTGGTTCTTGTTTTATACTCTTCAAATTGTACACACTAAACATTTTAATTTTTTTGCTGCTCTAATACTTTGCTTGCAAAAGCAGAAGCACTAATGCACTGTGTTAGTAAATGGAGAATGTATTATTTTAGAGTGTTTCATTACCATACAAAGTACAGCATTACACAGCCAGAATACAAACTGAAAACCATTGCTTGCATCTGTTGGCTGATCCGGAAGCATCACATTTCTCTTAACTTTCCACCAAGTTTAGTTTCTGAATACATTTAAAGTTAGAAACCAGACGTAGAGTTGCAGAGTCTTGCTTCATTTTATATCTTCTTTGTCTGTTTTGAATATTTGTTCATGGTGTAAGGCATTACAGCTGCATGTCATAATATCATCCAAACACTCCCTTCAGCTCTCTGTTTTGTGTCTGGCTCGGCTTAATTAATTCTAGTGGATCTTTTAGACAGGAAACATATATTCTAAGACACTATGTAAGAAATACAATTCCACTACCATATGATAGTGTGTTTGGTAGCATTTCTAGTCTAGCAGCATAGATCCTATCCCAGGAGGACAGAGAAACGTTATCGAACGGGCCTAATTTGGCACGAAGCTCTGAGAACCCTGTGAGCAGAGTGTAATGAAGCCTGTGATACATGGACACACATCTCTCTCCCCAGGGACAGGCAGCCGGATGCTGAGGACGACGGCCTGGCCTCCAGTCCTCTGCAGCCCATGCGCAGTAACCTGAGTCTTGGAGAGAAGCAGGAGGACGCCGACAACCAGAAGAACTCCACCAGGGCCAGCCAGGCCGGCCTCAACAGCAACACCATCGTCATCCCCGTCACCATCACCGCCCCGCCCGGAGAGACCACCATCATACCCAGTGAGTACACACCGCCATCAGGAGAAGAGAGGTTGCAAAGGTTGATGAAAATAATCCACAGACCACTCGGTGTTTGCTTCATTTCTAACTTTACTTAATTAGACATTAGAATTAGGTAAATGAAGTGTTATTCGTAGAATATCGTGTGGCTATGGATGAAACAGTCGATCGTTGTGTTCACCCATTGAAAAAAGAACTCATTAAAGGTGGGGTAGGTAATTTTGGAGAAACCAGCTTGAGTGTGCTAGACTTTGAAAATAACAGCCGGAAAAAACTTACCTACCCCACCTTTAAGCGGAGAAAATAATAATAATAATAATAACTAATCATTTTGGACGTTACTTGCATTTTTTATGAGGTTAAAACATCTTATTATAATGTTTCCACCAGTCATCAATTTACAGCAGTGTCATTAGGGGTAATTAAGGCTAATTAAGAATATCGCCACGGCAGAAGAATTAATGAGTAAAAGTCAAATACAACAGGAGTCATAGCCGGAAGTGCCCAATTTTTAACACTATAGAGGACGGCATACTTTATGAATCCTGCAAGGGGAATATTTATTTTGCAATGTAATACTTAGAGTAACATTTGAAAACCATGCTAGTTCTGTGAAACTGTACTTTGGCACTGCAATGCTTTGAGTTCAACACTTATATCGGCACAGTAACATGATCATAAGGACAATGTTTACATGCTAATGCTAAATAATCATAATGGTTACCATGTTTACCATCTTAGCCCAGTGCCTATTTTCTAATGAACTCTATCAATAGGTAGAAATGACGCAGGTGAGAATGCCATTATTGTCTAGTAACTCCAGTTTCTAATTGTATAAAAATGCTATATACAGTGGGGCAAAAAAGTATTTAGTCAGCCACCAATTGTGCAAGTTCTCCCACTTAAAAAGATGAGAGAGGCCTGTAATTTTCATGCTAGGTATACCTCAACTATGAGAGACAAGAATGAGAAAAAAAATCCAGAAAATCACATTGTCTGATTTTTAAAGAATTTATTTGCAAATTATGGTGGAAAATAAGTATTTGGTCAATAACAAAAGTTCATCTCAATACTTTGTTATATACCCTTTGTTGGCAATGACAGAGGTCAAACGTTTTCTGTAAGTCTTCACAAGGTTTTCACACACTGTTGCTGGTATTTTGGCCCATTCCTCCATGCAGATCTCCTCTAGAGCAGTGATGTTTTGGGGCTGTCGCTGGGCAACACGGACTTTCAACTCCCTCCAAAGATTTTCTATGGGGTTGAGTTCTGGAGACTGGCTAGGCCACTCCAGGACCTTGAAATGCTTCTTACGAAGCCACTCCTTCGTTGCCCGGGCGGTGTGTTTGGGATCATTGTCATGCTGAAAGACCCAGCCACGTTTCATCTTCAATGCCCTTGCTGATGGAAGGAGGTTGTCACTCAAAATCTCACGATACATGGCCCCATTCATTCTTTCCTTTACACGGATCAGTCGTCCTGGTCCCTTTGCAGAAAAACAGCCCCAAAGCATGATGTTTCCACCCCCATGTTTCACAGTAGGTATGGTGTTCTTTGGATGCAACTCAGCATTCTTTCTCCTCCAAACACGTCTAGTGAGTTTTTACCAACAAGTTCTATTTTGGTTTCATCTGACCATATGACATTCTCCCAATCCTCTTCTGGATCATCTAAATGCTCTCTAGCAAACTTCAGACGGGCCTGGACATGTACTGGCTTAAGCAGGGGGACACATCTGGCACTGCAGGATTTGAGTCCCTGGCGGCGTTGTGTGTTACTGATGGTAGCCTTTGTTACTTTGGTCCCAGCTCTCTGCAGGTCATTGACTAGGTCCCCCCGTGTGGTTCTGGGATTTTTGCTCACCGTTCTTGTGATCATTTTGACCCCACGGGGTGAGATCTTGCGTGGAGCCCCAGATCGAGGGAGATTATCAGTGGTCTTGTATGTCTTCCATTTTCTAATAATTGCTCCCACAGTTGATTTCTTCACACCAAGCTGCTTACCTATTGCAGATTCAGTCTTCCCAGCCTGGTGCAGGTCTACAATTTTGTTTCTGGTGTATTTTGACAGCTCTTTGGTCTTGGCCATAGTGGAGTTTGGAGTGTGACTGTTTGAGGTTGTGGACAGGTGTCTTTTATACTGATAACGAGTTCAAACAGGTGCCATTAATACAGTTAACAAGTGGAGGACAGAGGAGGCTCTTAAAGAAGAAGTTACAGGTCTGTGAGAGCCAGAGATCTTGTTTGTTTGTAGGTGACCAAATACTTATTTTACCGAGGAATTTACCAATTAATTCATTAAAAATCCTACAATGTGATTTCCTGGATTCTTTCCCCCCATTCTGTCTCTCATAGTTGAAGTGTACCTAGGATGAGAATTACAGGCCTCTCTCATCTTTTTAAGTGGGAGAACTTGCACAATTGGTGGCTGACTAAATACTTTTTTGCCCCACTGTATTTGTATGGGGACTTTGTAATAGCAGCTTTATGAGTAGAGTAAGTTCATTTTCGTAAGCAGCTTTTATGATAAACCAAGATTTTCAGATTTTTCGTACCTCGTTAATTATATTTCAATAAAACTACACAGACCAAAAGCCTGAAATTTGTATCAATATTTTTATTTGTATAATGTTTGTACTGCTTTGAGCTAATGAGTGTGTTTATCTTTCCACACTAGTGAACAATATCGACTGCGACAGCTTCTTATTCAGCGATGAGAAGAAAGACCTGGAGGATGAGGAGGCGGCTAATGGGCCTCGGCAGATCCTTCCCTACAGCTCCATGTTCGTCTTTGGGCAAACTAACCCGTAAGTGTAGCTGCAAGTGACTGAGAGCAGTGATGTGAAATAAGATTGATAGCTTGGGTTAAATTAAGGATACAAAGTTACACAAATTATTAGGATTTTACCATGTAGAGTGGGTCAAATGAGTTAACAGCACCTAGCAAATCCAAAGTTGATAACCAACATGATGTAATCCCCTCACTTTGTTAAAACAGTCCTTTTTAAAATGTATAGAAGCATGTTAAACATACACACTTTCAACACATTCAACCTCTTTTCAATGAGGAACATATCAGACTCACTTTCATTACTTTCATATCTGGACTTGAACATAGCACTTGTTTATGAGTAGGAGTCTGGAGCGTTGCCATTGGCCAGCAGGAGGCGTGGGAATTTGGTGGACTGACCCCCCTATCTAATAAAAGTTGTTATCAGGATGTGGAATCTTTTCTCTCTGGTAGTGGGGGAACACAGCCGGTGCAGCAGATTGAGCATCACCAGAGAGATCAAATTGAGCTTAACTCTAAACGCAGCGCGGCTCTGGAAAGTCCTGGCTTGACTCTTCTATTTTCTGAGATGTGTGTTGTGACACTCGTGAGACTGCAGCTAACCAACTGTGTGTTTCCCTAAAAAAAACATATGGCCTTCTCTAGTGACCTAATCTCTCTTTGTTCAGACCAAATGCAAAGCAAATGTTTGCCTTGTATTACTTGTGTGAATACGACAGATTATTTTATTTTGCAACTCATGAATAATCACCCTTAACAGCTAATGGAAGGGCAGTTTACGCTTAATGCTAACTTGGTTTGTAGCCAATTAAAACCTTGAATCAATTAACAAATATTGTCCATACTTTCTTCCTTTTTCTGTAACATACTGACACTGAATTGTAAAGCTGCAATTTTGAGGATTGACCATTACGAAATTCACGTTATTAAGGTACAAGAATAACGAAGTTCAAAAGATCAACCATCGACTTCATAGTTATACTGTCGTACTGTAGAACTGCTGCACACAACAGGAGTTTTATGTTGGTTTTACGGGTGTTTGTATCGTACCATATTTTCAAGTCTGTAGGTGCGAATCTAAGTCCTACGTAGCCAGAACATCTGGTAGTCCACAAGTTCAATAACCTCTGTAAGAACTTTTCCCAGATTCTGAAAGATGGGGCATGTTCCTCAGTTTCAGAAGGAACTGTCATCCTTCGAGCAGTGTTTGCTGTGTTTCTCCTTTAGGCTGATGTAGTTCTGGCTTTAGACCATGACCTCCAGCACACACTGGGGTGGTTTGTAGCTGTGAGTAAATCAGTTGGGAAGGGCGCCAGCTCCTCAAGTCTGAGGCCATGGCACTCTCCTTAAAAATGAAGTGTTTGTGCCCCAAGTGAATTAGTGTCTCAGGATCTGAGGAGCTGAGGCAGAAGATGAATCTCTTGATTTACCGCTCCATTCATGTTCCAGACCCACATATCATCTTGGACTCATGATGGGGATTAGACAAATTAAATGCCAGATTCATTTCCACCTAAACATTGTTTTGACATGGAAGAATATGCGTGTGCTTCTTGACCTTTTATAGAAGGACGTTACCTATGGAGCTGTCACTTCTCTGTGTGTACTCTAACGTGTGTGTGTGTGTGTGTGTGTGTGTGTGTGTGTGTGTGTGTGTGTGTGTGTGTGTGTGTGTGTGTGTGTGTGTGTGTGTGTGTGTGTGTGTGTGTGTGTGTGTGTGTGTTGTCTTGCAGGGTGCGGCGGCTGTGTCACTACGTGGTCAACCTACGCTACTTTGAAATGTGCATCCTGTTGGTCATCACAATGAGCAGCATTGCTCTGGCAGCCGAAGATCCAGTGCAAGCGAATGCACCGCGCAACAACGTGAGTCACACTGACATCTGGAATTCATAAATACACATCTGGAAGGACACATCATAAACACTGGCTGACAGACGCATCGTCACAGAGCCTAGTATTTGCATTAAATGTGCTTGCATCCCTGCGGATTCACACACTTCATTCCGCTGACTGGCTGATTCAGTCAGACAGAGTCAGGGTTTCACAGGTTTGCCCATATTTAGAGTAGGAAACACAAAGATAAGCTTTTTTAGATCGTTTTTGGTCAATTGTTGTCACTGACTTGGCGCACATCCAGTTTGACAGAATCTTTAAATACTCTTTACATCCGTGCCTGACATATGAACCCATGTTGAGAGTAAGGGGATAATACATGCACACAGACTTGAGCTTTTGCATTCTGACAGACAAGCACAACTAATTCTTATTCAAGTCAGGAGCGCAGAAGGAATGCGAGGTGATGGTGTATGTTTGCGTGTGTGTGGGTGTTCAGGCAATCTGTGTTAGAGCTGGGGAGTGCAGAGCTGACAGAGCTTGAGACCTCTGACAGGGTAGAGGAACATGTTGTGCATAACTGGTCCACACACACCTACACACACACACACTTCAAAAGAATCTTAATCAGCAAACATCTGTCACTGGATCTGACAAGTCATCTCACAGGAAGTTTTCTTAACCTCTGTTCTGCAGGTTCTCAAGTATCTGGATTATGTCTTTACTGGGGTCTTCACTTTTGAGATGGTGATAAAGGCGAGTATGCACATGATGTTAAGGTTACATAACCATGGTTGCAACAGCATTAAAATGAATATGTTTATGAGATTATCATTTTGAGATTGTAGTCATTCAAGCGATATTTAGCGAGTTGCCTTTCAAACTGCAAATCACCAAATCTGTGTTTACTGGGAGAGAGAAGTATCATGTTCCTGGCATTGCTAATTGGGTTTGTGGTTTACATTTATCAGCTGTGATAACCATGTCCTATTTCCAAACCCTTAAAATAATAAATGCGCTGTGTCACTAAAAAGAAAAAGTACTACATTTGAAGGCAGAGCGCTCTTAAAGTGCTTTTTATGAGCTAATGAGGAACAAGGTCAAAATAGCTATAGAAGAGGCATTAAAATAATTATTAGCTCAAATTATTTTGTTCTATTTTATGCTGTGACACCAGATGATTGACTTGGGACTGATCCTCCACCCTGGCGCTTATTTCCGTGACCTGTGGAACATTCTGGACTTCATCGTGGTCAGCGGAGCTCTGGTGGCCTTTGCCTGCTCGTAAGTCAACTTGTCCTTTTATCTAATCCTAGCAGAACTCTGAATATAAAGTATTTCAGGCACGGATACAACAACCACACCACAAAAATATGACGGTTGTGTCATATCAGTGTTCTTAGCGGATGCCACCCTCTCTACAGTGTCTACCCCTGGAGCAGGCTAGCCTAGCATGCTAACTCTCTGTGGCTAGGTGCCGCAGTGTGTTTGTTTTATCTCACAAACAACTCCATTCAGATTTGGTTTATTGGTGCTTGGGGAAATCTATCAATCACAACAATGTCACACTCATCACACAAGTCTCCACGCTCCCTCCGTGCTCAACAGTGCACAGTTTAGATGACAGCTTTATCTTTCAAGAGGCGAAATAAGTCTCCAAGCTGGCACCTAATTGCCGGGTTCAATACACTGCAAAAGTTATATTTGTATGATTGTATCTAAAACTAATTTGTTCTCCCGTTATAAACAATTGTCATCATCAATTTCAAGCAATGTTGCTGTCTTTCTGCCAGACTTGGTATTATTTGTATTCCTTGGAAGTCAATATATTAGTAATATAGTTTACGTCGCCGTATTCAGGAAGATTTTAGCAGCTATTTATAATCGTACATGTTGAACCTAACTCACCTGCACATTTTTGTCTCGTCTCACACTCCTAATAACACTCACATACAAACATGTTTGCATTAGATGGACATAAATGAAAAGGCCATTACCCCTTCTGGTTGAGCGCTGCTAAGTACATATTATCAGTGAGAAGCGAATAGTAAAAAAAGAAATGCTTGTGTAGCTGAGAAACTCAAATATATATAAATGTTTTCACTATTCTATTTTTCTCGAAAACTAAATACAAATGTTACTTTTAGAGATTGCATGACTGTTTAATATAAAACTCTTACTAAAAATGATCACAAAATATATGCATATGCGTAGCTTTTTAGGATATTTCTGTGTTTAGGAGTATTGTTTTGTAAATACAGAACATCGAGGTTTCTTTCGCATAAACGTACAACTTATGACATTTTTACTCGGAATGCTTCCCACATTTCCTCGCTCTGTAATTTATTTTTTACCTACAATGGCTCGAATGTGCTGGGGTATAAAGTGCCATTGTGCATGATGGGAAATAAACGTTACCCATAGCCACATTATACAGCGAGTTACAGTAATGAGCCCCGTGCCGCCCACAGACCTGCATTCTGGGTCTCTGGAGTTGGAAGGTGATTACATATTCTGTTATGTTCTCACTATTTCTCATGCAGTATTGATTCTTTCCTGGAAATGTGTCCACAGTTAGTCACCTGTGTATTTTTCTTTGTACTGCTCTCTGCTGCTCGGTTCCTTCTCTTTCGCCAGCTGTAGATAAATGCTTCTCTCTTGTGTTTTTGTATCTGTTTCTGACTCTGTCTCTGTCTCCTCTCTTTACTTTCCTTCCTTCCTTTCTTTGTTGTCTGGCTTGGATTGCTTTCAGGAGCCTCATGGGGTAATGCTGCCTGCTCTCTCTGCCTGCGTTTCTGTCTATGTGCACGTTTTTTTTCTTTTCTATTTGTGTCGTCTGTTTTCCTTCTTGTCCATCATAGCCAATGTCATTTGCAGAGTTTAGATGAAGCAGCCTCCGTCTAGCAGCGAAATGTTTTGAACAAATGTGATATTATGTTATTCGCTATTCTTATCTTCACCGCCACAGTCACGAGCAAAGATTCTGGCATTTGCTGTGTTTGTGTTATGCAACTATGTTTGTGTTACATCTGCATCTGGGTTACATAAGTGCAATTACCTGCTGTCCATTTACCGGATATATTTCATAGATATATTTCATGAGTTTTAGTAAGAGGAACAATACACATAATGCTCAGCATGGCAGCACAGTGAATAAGAAACGCACTGTCAGAGGTTTAATCTTTCGTAAGAGTAAAATGTGTTCCAGATGTTCATGAACACAAAGTACCTCTGGCTACGCTCCACAATTAACACACACATTTAGTGCTAATTGAACAATTACCAGACATAGAGTTCAAGTATTATTCAGATGCAGAATGATGTAGCTGTCATCGTTCTTTCATTGTGTTTCTAACTTGTAATGCACTGTTCATTTATAATCACAAATCACTTATTGTAAGAGTGCTTTGACATTGTCCCGTTCATTTAGCTTCGTCCAGTATGCTGCGCTGTTGTCCATAGAAATGTTGGATTTACAGGTTATCACATTCAACCACTACACCTTCACTTTGCTCCATCTGTCATCTCGCTTATCAACTCACTTTCATGGCATGTAAGTGTGAGCCAGGCTACATTCACACTGCAAGGATAATTCTACTTCCCTGGAACTAGGATCTTATTACGATGAATTCTTATATTGGTTATTAAAAATATACTCAGGCTAGCTGCTATCCATTTGACGAGGGAAGAAACACGAGCATTCAAACAATCAAATGGGTTGGAGAGAAACCAAGGAAAGAGGAAGACCTAATAATAAGAAGCAGAGTACAGACAGGTATCCTCATGTTATGCTCGTAAGATAAGATTCTAAATATAAAAAATGTGGGCAATCGTGGTCTCAAAGTGTAAATTAAAATAAACATTCAGTTAATTGACATTGAGTAATAAAAGCTAGTAAAACAGTAGCTATCCTGGAAGTGACGTCAGGAATTTAGCCCTCTTATACAGTATGGGGCAATATGTGAAAAGTGCTTAAAAATGTATTTAAAAAGTAGATACTATTAGTTTAGATTTTTCCAGCCGCAGTGTTAATGTAGTCATTGTAGCAGACATGTCAGTGGATTGTATCATCAACAGTGTCCTCTCATCTTCTCTCCCAGTAAACAACTGTCCATGGCATCATGATCATCCTCTTGCTATAAATGTGATTTATTCACCTGTGTACTTCACATACTCATTGTAATATTCATCACTCGTCTACTTGCTTTGCCCTTTCACAGGGTAATTAGTTTAAGTGCGTCTATGTGTCTCTTATCTTTGGTTTCTTTTCGATGGAAGTTTGAAAGGCCGGATAATGTCCCTGTTTCTTCACACCTGTGTGATATCTGCTTAAAATGTTTATTTTGCGCTGTCTTTCTTGACATGCTTTTGTGCTATATTTATGTGGGTGGTGTTTGTGTTTTTGTACTGTGTTTGTGTCATTGCTTTTTCTCATCAGATCGCAACACAGCGTGGCCAGGTGGGAACTGTCCCTATCTACTTTTTACTTATTAAACCCCCCCTTCCCTCTTTCCCCACATGAAACATCGACACTCCTCTTACCAAACTTTCCAAATGAACTCTGTCCCCCTCCATCCCAAAGTGCTCGGGATATGACCATGATTTCCCTCCCTCCTTCCTGTCTTCCCTTTACAAAAGAACCTCCTGTCCCAATATTGGGACATCCAGACAAAAAGACAATATTGGAAACTCCGTCTCATAGCTTTCAGAAGACCAACATATAACCGCTGACTTGCATCTGTGTCAATCTAAACTGAGTATCTTTCCACTCATCAGGTATCAGCTGTATACAAGCTGAAACGTCCTTATCTGATGTTCCTCCTTCATGTTAATCTCCTCTAATCTTCACTAAAGTGGGTTTAATTGGTCATAACACTAAGAGATTATAGCCTGCAGCTTAATTCACCTCCCTGCCCTTCACCTACATCTCTCCTTGCATTCAGAGAGAAATCGATGGAGGATTATAGCTTCTCAGCTGGATTCACCTTGAGTGACCGCCGGGTAGTAGCTTGTGTATTTAAATAAATAAATGATACGTTTATTTCCCCCGTAAGAATTCATTGTAAGTGAGCACATTTTGTACAATTTATTTGTTTCTTAGTGTATCCACACACACATCCTTAGCACTTGAATTCTCTTACAATAATTATATATTTTTTTATGACCACAAGAAGAAATTCTGATCACAACTCTTGCAATGTTTAGCTCAGCAAATGCTCCCAGTGATTACAAAGTAAAGAAGAAAATAGAGAAACAATACAAATGGAAGTATGCAAAAACAGTTGAAATATTTATTTGTGCTTTATTTGTAATATAGCTCGATAGAAGGAGCTTCATGCTTGCTGTTTAGCTGAGGCACTGAAATGCTTCTGACTGGATGTCACATCCCTAAACAGGAAATGCTCCTCGACCAATAGCGGGCAGCTGATACGACAGAGTCAGGATGACGTAGGATGACCTCACAGCTGCTGAGCACATTAAAGATCAATTAAATCTCTGTTTTCTGTCTGCTCCAGCATTCATATCTGCTCAATAAGAACTGCTGTGTTCTCCTTTGAGGAATACGGTTTCAGCGAAAATAATAATTATATGTTTTCAAATATGAAAGCAGCGGTCTGTAAGACAGCCAAAAAGGTAGAGTTACATAGAGTTAAGTTCAATACATAAACACACAAGTGTAACTTAGTTAAATATATCAAATTATGTTATAATGTTATATATTAAAAATAAATGGCTTCTCGATTTTTTTTTTAAATAATCGCCAATGCAACACAATTTAACAAAGGGCAAATAGAGACCGCAGACCCTTTATAATAATAACAATGAGAGAATTAGTACCCTGAAAGCCTAAAGAAAATAAGATTGATTCATATAGATTTTATTATATATTTTCCAAGAATATGCAATAAAATAACAGAAGTATGATTTTATATGTTTCCATAATACACTCAGTTAGTATTAAGGCTGCAGAAATGATGGACTTAATTATGTTGGACTTCAAGCCATCAGTGTTGAGTTAATGTGAACAAACACACACATTACATGCTCCTTGCCCACGGCGCTTCTGAAAGCTATTGGGAGACTGTTCTTGCCGTCTCAATGTGTCGAGCTCCTTGAATAGCGAGGACTGGCATTGAGTTTGCAGATTGCATGCCAGGGTAACCAAGTCATCCAAGCATGAGAGCTGCATGCCATTTTATAAGACTGAGAGTTTTCCATTGAGAACGGAAAAGGCACACAATGTATGGAACCATGCTACTCTTCCTCACCGTATTGTAGACTTTTACACACATCACATATCTGATGATATCAAATTATTATTACAGATTGATATCATTATTTTGACAGACTGATGTGTGAGTACAGTATGTGTCTGACAAATCTTATGCAAAGGAGGCAAAGGGAAGAAAAGACTGAGAAGGAAGGTGTTTAAAGTCAACATGCTGTCCATTTACCGGATAAGATGTATGGTCATTTCTAGAATCTCACATGTACCCTCCTATCCACATTACGTTCCTTGAAAACGCTTATTTGTGCATTATTTTCCTAGAAAGGACTTTCTAATTTGGTAATAATGTTCCATTACTCAGAAGGATCTATTTTAGGGTTCAAGGATAACCAGGAAATGACTAAAGGTAGTTAAATTGAGTTGAAGTTTCTATTTCCTTGGGTATTTCCTAAGATAAAATGCACAAGTGTTATTTAAAAAGATCAATTTGATGACCCAATGTTCAATTAGACTTTATTCTCAGAGGTCTATTTGTGGAATTGTGTCAAGATTACATTATAAACTGTTTCTTTGCTCTGCCTCATTCCCCGTTTTCTGTAGTGTTGCTACACCTGTCAAGCTGCACACTACAGAGCTCCAGCTTATATTGATGACAGTATACTGGGATCACCGATAGCTGACGTTATACTCCTGAACAAACTGCTCTTTTACAGTTATTAGCTGGAATAAACAACATTACTTTAGGAGGTGTTGATGTCCCCTGGGGATGACATAATTGGTTGGTGTAAGAAACTGCAGAGCCTCAATGGGACACTAACAGGGCTTTTAAACTTATTTGTTCTCACATTCTTGTGTCCTTTGCCACATCCTTGCACATTGCATTATTTATATACACAGATAAACACTCAGTTTGTAGTTTTTAGACATGTTTGAAGTCATAAGAAACAACACGGAGAGTGACAGCCACTTTGCACATGTGACTGATTAATTAGAAATCCCTCTCCCACCGTCCTTGGCCAATGTCAGTGTCTGAGTGAATGATGGCTCAGCTGTATGCCATTAGCATAACAGCTAGTTTTCAAAGCCCCACACCCACCTCCCACTCAGTGACCAGTTAAGAAACCTGCAGCGTCTGCAATGACTGACAGCAGCGGTTCCTGCAAAGAAGCTGGGGCTGATTCTCTCTGCGTTTACTCTGAACAGTGGGAAATGTTTGTATGTTATTCCACAGAAACAGCATGTTGTATGCTCACCATGACAGTTGTGGAAAAGGTTCTTAACTATGATTTTATCTTACAAAAATAAGTAATTCCATAGTGGAAAATACATCAGAGGTCAACAATGTTTTGCAGTAGAGTTCAAATTGTTGAGAAAGAGTGGAGTTTAGAAGGGTCACAAAAGGAAAGAAGGAATTCAAGAGAGACATTTCACCCAAAGAAATGAAAGAAAAACCAAATAGACTAAACGGGTAAATAAAAGACAGATGAAAAGAGAAAGACTGTAAGAAAGAAAGGCTACTGTGAGAAAAAGGAATTAAAGAAGACAAAAAGAAGAAGGGAAAGAAAATGAGAAGGGAATGAAAAACAGGTAACAAATGTAGTGAAGGAGCAAATCTGAAAGGTTTACTTCACTACAGCACTTTAGGAAATGCAATTTGGTTACTCCAAACCAATTCCTCGACTGTTGCATGCTTCTGTAGAACCTCACATGCATGCACTCTACTAACAGAATATAACATTGCATTCATCAGAGTTCACAGTAAACCTGATGTACTTGAATCTGCTCATGCTACTGGAGGATGGGTAGGATGAAAGCATTCACAGGCTTCTAGGTGACACCATCACACACACACACACACACACACACTAACTGTTCTCTCAATCTGCACAGAGGGACGAAAGGCAAGGACATAAACACCATCAAGTCCCTGAGGGTCCTCCGAGTCCTGCGGCCACTCAAGACCATTAAACGTCTCCCCAAGCTGAAGGTACAGTAATCCAATCCGTCACCCACCCAGTGCATTATGAGGAGAGAGAAAGCAGCTGGGGCCACTCCGGTGTCAGCATTATGAGTCAAATGATTTTATAGTATACTGAGGAGAAGTTGCTATATCTGATTTAAAACAGTCGTGTTTTAAATCAGATATATAAATCTTGTAGCGTAGCTCTCTAATGAAAGGTTGGAGCTGTTTGACCTTTGGAGTGTTCTGTGCTGTGGAGAGATGGGGGAAGTTAAAGTCACACAAATTGGATATAATGTGACTGGAAATGGCTTTCTATTTCTGCAGTAGTTCTGTGTATGAGGACTGATTGATAGCCTGCACTTCCCAGGAAATACACTCCTCAAAAGGCATGGATAGAAAATGTAGATAAAATCATTGAAAAACAGTTTTCATCAACAAATCAATCCTGTAGGTTTTGAAAGTGAAAAGATTATAGCTGCTTCTTTGTTAAGAACAGCTCATCTAGTTAGCATGGCTTCACAGCAGCTTCATGTATTCATGTAAGTCGTAAAGTGCAATTAAAGCAGTCAGAGAGAAAACAAGTGTCAAATGATCCATACAAAACGTTCCTAACTACATCCTTTTTGTTACTGTAGCTTCTGTTTCTCTGTAGCATAGTTAGCTGTATATCTCTTTAGCAACAAGCTATGTTTGCTAACGATGATCACTGACAACAAACTCCAACAGATGGTCACGCTAATAAGCAGAAGAAGGTCTGTTATTAAGATAAGATAAGATGTACCTTTATTAATCCCTGTCGGGAAATGCAGTAGTTCAAACAGCAACCGGGTAAGGGTGAAGAACCAACACAGTCTCACTGCATTTCGTGTTATAGTCACGAAATGTATCTTGATTCGTGTTCACCAACACGATTTTCTATTTTTTTTCGTGTCACACAGAACGATTTTAAAAGCAATGTAAATAATAGCGAATTTGAAGGAAAAAGAGATTTAAAAAAATACAGATTTCAGTATTCTGACACAGAACGATTTTAGAAGTAATGTATTTCTATTGGTAGTATGTTTCGTGCCTGCACCAAATAATAACACATTTAAAAGGAATTCTTTTTTTTTTAAAATACAGATTTCAGTATTCCCATTTCTAGCCCCATTTATTTTCCTCGCGGACGGCAAAAAAACTCCGACATTATACAATTTAAAATAAGAGGCTTAGGGTAAGATATTGAGTAAGGAAATGTTTTTATGAACCACACAGCTTCTGGTCTTCCAAGACCCGACCGGACAAAAAGTCGTGGTGCAGGCACGAAATATACTACCAATAGAAATACATTGCTTTTAAAATCGTTCTGTGTGACACGAAACAAATGCAAAAATCGTGTTGGTGAACACGAATCAATAGATTAAATAAATGTTGTGACTATAACACGAAATGCCGTGAGCCTGGGTTGGAAGAACAGGACAGCACAGATTCACACAGATTAATAAAATCAAAAATAAAGTCAAGATAAAAATAACTATGAAATAAGAAATTAATAAAAATAAAAGTGAGCATATACATATTGGCAATACAAGCATGGGGAACACAGTGAGCATACACATTAGGTGTGCTCCTGTTCACCTTTGTATTGCTTATTTTTCGATTTTACGCATGAAAACCCTTTAGTGGAAAAGCAGACAATTCTCAAAAGTCTTGAAATAGCGCAACAATTCTAATGAAAAATACACGTGGATGATGCTCTTTTAATGACCTCGTAATTTTGCAAACCTCTTTGTCTTCAAAAGTGTTATAGTGGCCTGACTGGAAAAATAACGCTACCTACTGCATACCTTAAAGAAACACCTCCTAATAGTCGCATAACAGTAGTTATTAATAACAAGAAATGATTTGTTTTTTCTTTTGCCGTTTTTTCAAAGTTTTTATTTTATGTTATAACCATTAAGGATTTCTTTTTTAAATGAAAAGTATACTTAATATCTTTATCTGCAGTTTTGTCACAATGTTCCTCTTTTATTGCTGAACATTGCCATTCAGTTAAATATGATTATCATGCATATGAGCTAATCTCTGAGTGTTAAGTAGCAAAGAAACCTCCCAAAAGATGGTTCACATTTTGCAAAGAAACGTTCAAATGTAACAATGCAACACCTTTGTATATAATTCATAGTTTTTCAATTACGCCAATGGCATCACTTTAACATCATAGAATCCCAGTTGAAATATGTTTTGATGCAACCACTGGGGTGTGTCAAAGTCCAACATGTTGAACTTATACATAGGGGCTTATGATAAAGAATCTCAAGCATTGTGTGTGGAGTGAATTATTTAAATGAATAAATCATGACCCTCATCAAGGAAAGAGCCTCTCTGATGCAGAGACGACAGCTTCCCTCTGCTGCATGATGAGCTGATCAACTGAAAGTAATGCATCTGACAAAAAACCAGAGATCTGATTGGAGCAAAGCGAGTGACATGATTGAGGCAGAGCAGAGCTGGCAGACGGACACTCACCCACATCTCTTCTTGGAGAATTGAGCAGAGCCGCTTGACAGACTATGCTCTGTCCTCTCTCTGGAGACAAAAGCCTGGCCATCATTCATACAGCCAGCATATTCATTGGTTAGATTGCATGCATGTCAGGAGAGATAGTCAGGGCGTCCATCTTATTGAGAGATCACAGGCTGACAGAAAGGAGATGGAGAGAGAGAGACTGACAGGCAGGCAGACATGAAGAGAGACTCATGCACAAGTGCGTTCATGTTCTCAGTCAGCAGTGATTTGGTAGTCTGCAGGTCATAAGAGGTCTAGACATCTGGGTTAAAACAGGTCTGAGTCCGGGTGAAAGAGTTGTTCGACATCTGTAGTGGCCAAAATCCCAAAAAGTTTGTCTTGTAACTCGATACCTCAAAAGTTATTGTTCTTGGCCACATGTAGAGCTTGGGCATGGGAAGCAGTGTTAGACTCGCAGAACAAAATCCACTGGACGTTTCGGTTGTTTTTCAACGTTTATTTCCAGCAAACAAAATAGGAAAACAATATGTAACGTAAACTTAAACAGCAGATCGGACCTAATAATCCGTCTTCTACTAAACATAAGTTGCGTCTGCGTGTCAATGACGGTATTGCTGCTGCCTGCTGCTCTCCCGTCACACACCGCACCTCCAATTTAAAGCTTTAGCCCCGCCCCTTCACCTGAGCAAAGCGCACCTCTCACTGAAACAGAAAAATGCATTAATAAAGGTTCCAAATAAATCAAAACAAAATAAACTTAAATGCGGCTCCTACACATCTGAGTTGTCTAGAAACTATCTGTGGTTTCAGAAGCAGTTCCCTTTTTTTTTTGGAGATAAGTAGTAAGCAAGTAAATAAGCAGTAGTCGAATAAAACTAATAACAATCATTCACATACTGTACTACATTTGTTAGACACCTTTTTTAATTCCTTTGCTTCTCCGGGAAAAAGAGCCAAATTAATTTTTGAATGATTTTGATTGTGTGAAGGATGAAGTGTTCCTTTATGCATGTCTCCTACTTTTTGAGCTTAATAAACCCTTTTAAAATACTCTTGTTTCGCTGAATACCTGCATCATCGCAAATCTACAAACATTGCATCGCTGTACAGTCGATTAAACTACCCAACGGTATATAACATAAACACAGCCCTAAACATATGAAGGCATTTGAACAGTAACTAATGAACCAGTTAAGTTTCCGCTTCAATGGGAGAGATTGCACATCAATGCAGTGGTTTACATGTACATTGACTGATGTCATTACGTGTGTGTTTTCCAGGCGGTGTTCGACTGTGTCGTGAACTCTCTGAAGAACGTTCTTAACATCCTCATCGTCTACATGCTCTTCATGTTCATCTTCGCTGTCATCGCCGTGCAGCTCTTTAAGGGGAAATTCTTCTACTGCACTGACGAGTCCAAGGGTCTGGAGAAAGACTGCAGGTACTGTTCTCTACATTCAGACATGGTGTTTTACATTTGCTAACACGAGATTCTATACGGACATTATCTATATGTTCCCCCTGATTCCTGTCTCTCAGGGGTCAGTTTCTGGACTTCAACCGTGATGGTGTGGAAGCTCAGCCCAGAGAGTGGAAGAAGTACGAGTTTCACTACGATAACGTTCTCTGGGCCTTCCTGACGCTCTTCACCGTGTCTACGGGAGAGGGCTGGCCAATGTAAGTAAAGACAACCTGTGTATCACCTCATTCGTGTTTCCCTACTCATCAATCATAAGCTACATCTGAAACTGATCAACATCACTGAGGTTTTGTTATCAAAACTTAAGTAGTTCAAGTATTCTTGAGTTCTTCATGTTATCGTTTCCTTCAGCAGCTTGCTGTGAAATGCACTCAGCACACCTGCAGGTGGATGGTACAGAAACTGATTTCTCACAGGTCTGATTACTGTGCGTTCTCTGAAGATGCAATCAAGGCTCATGCATAGATATCTTCAGACTGCCACTCTGTGTCTGACATAAGAGATTACCATCAACATCATGCTCTCTGTCAAGGACCGTTGATGGCTTTTTGTTTATTTAATTTATTGTACCTACCCGATGATCAAAAGTAAGTTGTTAAAATGACAACGCTTGTCATGATCATCTAAAATCACTCTTAATCAAGCAGTGCAGCACAATAAGAGTCCTCTAAAGCAGTGGTTCCGAACCTTTTTTCCCAAGAGCCCCCCCAAATGACTCCTGTTGGAAGGGCCGCCCCCCCCCACACACACACACTCACGGGGGGGGGGATGAATGTGAAGTATTTTGTTAAAGGAGGATGAAAGCGTAATTAAGGAGCACTATTGGAGTGACTTTGATGGTTATTGGACTCAGGATTAATTCATTTGGATTCCCGCTGTATGAAGAAATTAAGGGACGGCGCAAGTGGAAACACAAAGGGATTAAACTGTTTAAAACACGTGCTCAAAGTAAGCCGGATTTTGCCGTTGTGTTTAAGTGGATTCAAAAGTCGTAAATAATCTACAAAATGGAGGAGACCGATCTGATCGGAGCAACTGTGACAAATAATCCAACTGAAACCGGCATGGACAATGACTATGTTTTAAAAATGCGCTTATCCAGCAAAGCCTGGTTTGGACACTTTACGGGCAGAAGAAACATTTATATCAAAGAAACAATTATACATTTTTGTATTTTTATGCCTTTAATAGCTACTAACTTGCATTTTTATTCAAATGAATTAATCAATTATTTTTTATATTGTATTGTAATGAAGAGACAAGGCTTTTAGTGACAATCATGTATTGAGTTACAATTATATTAAAAAAAATTAAAAAATATAATATTTGGCCTCAAATCATCTGAGGCCTGGCGATCCCCCCGGGATCTTTTGCCCCCCAGGTTGGGAACCACTGCTCTAAAGTGTGCAACTGACAATGAATATACCAAGGTCTAATGTCCGCCTTAATGCTGCATTCATGTCATATGGGATGGATTTTAAAGATTGGAAATGACTGTTTATGTTTTATATGTATTATTTATGTTACATAGTTCCAATAATACATTTGGATTTAAGGTAAGGTCACATGGGCAGCCGTGCACACATTGTCAAACATGTCACAACTTGTCAAGCTTACAGAAATGTCCCCTTCCCAGGGCGTTGATGTGAACTCTGTAAACATGACCTCATCGCCAACCATAATGTTTTGGTACTTGATGAAGTATCTTTGGGGAAATTCTTAAAAGTTGCATAGTGCTTCACACACAGCCACATATTATGAGCCGACTAATGAAAAGTGTGCAGACAGTGCTCAAGTGTCACAGAACCAACAAACACTTGGCATCCCAGCAGGAGAGTCAGAGCCCTCAATAACTCACTGAGACATCTGTAATCATCTGTGGGCCCTCACCTCCAAATGTTGATGGCTCCTGACCTACAGGCAGGCTGATTAGACCTTTTTGGTTTCCTGGATAGTTCTAGACGCATTTCACTCACTGTTGTTTTATCAAGCTTCTTTCAGGAGTGTGTGTGTATGTCTGGCGGTGGTGGCGAAGTCGATAGGGACTTGGCTTGGTAACTGGAAGGTCACCAGTTCAAGTCCCGGCAAGACCAAGTGCTACGAGGTTTCCCTGAGCAAGGCACCGTTCCCTACACTGCTCCCCGGGCGCCGTTCAAAATGGCAGCACACTGCTCCTACACTAGGATGGGTCAAATGCAGAGAAACAATTTCCCCACGGGGATTAATAAAGTATATACAGAGAAAAGTGTTGATGAGGCAAGCTGGTTAGCTGTTTCTCTTCAGAGATTTGGAATCGCATTTAATTGGACATTGTGTAAAATGTATTTAGCGCTTGGTCTGATGCCCACAAAGTAAGATTTGGAGAGCCTGTATCACATTTTAAAAAGATGATGTAGTTAATTGGTATAACATTTTTATTATAAATGAATTGTTGACGTTTTTAAGCAGGAAAAACAATCATTAGCTGGCCATCACATGTTAGAAATTGCGTTTTGAGTTTGTTCTTCTCTGCAGCTCATCAGTTTTTTCTCTCCAGGGTCCTGAAGCACTCTGTGGACGCCACCTACGAGGACAAGGGCCCCAGCCCCGGCTTCCGCATGGAGACATCCATCTTCTATGTGGTCTACTTCGTGGTGTTTCCCTTCTTCTTCGTCAACATATTTGTGGCTTTGATCATCATCACTTTCCAGGAGCAGGGAGACAAGGCCATGTCGGAGTGCAGCCTGGAGAAGAACGAGGTGGGAGAACAGTGGAAACTAAATTATGCCCTTTGTTGTTTATTCTCCTGAAAAAAAACCTCTCCCAAGAACACACACTGATTATTTCTAAAGAAGCGCTGGTGCTTGAAAATGTTTCTTCGATAGAAATCCAAGCACATGTTGAACATCACTTCCAGGCATTACGTCCAACATGATTCCCCTCAAACAAAGCAAATCAGTGAAACAAAGCAGTGGGGTTTATCTTCTCCACTTTCTTCATCTCCACTTCACACACACTTTGTACAATCATGCTGCTCTTTGTCTGTAAAGTATTGGCTTGTGATCAGAAAGCCTCAAATTGTAGTCTCATTGTTTGATATCACAACATTCTTGGAAAAACCTCCCCGTTGCGTGCCAGCTGTCTTATATATGTTTTTATGATTTTCCAGCACTTCTATCTTTTATGATGCACAGTGGGAAGTTCCTGCTTGGAGTGGATTCATACATGTGTTTTTGTCTCCTCAAACAGAGGGCTTGTATCGACTTTGCCATCAACGCCAAGCCGCTAACCAGATACATGCCGGCGAACAAGCAGTCCTTCCAGTACAAGATGTGGAAGTTTGTGGTGTCGCCCCCGTTCGAGTACGCCATCATGTCTTTGATCGCCTTGAACACAGTCGTGCTGATGATGAAGGTCAGTCATTCCTCTCAGATCCAACTCTGCCAGAGAAAAAGTTGGCTCAGACAACTTCGGCTCCACATATGATACAGCACACTGTTTAAATATTAAAGAGGAGGATTGCAGAAGCAGTTTCCATAAATCTGTACTATTTAATAATTTAGCTCTTATGGCAGGGATGCAATTACGACAACAGCGCTGCCCTGGCCTTGAGACACGGTCAACACTGAAAAATCAAGCGGCACCCTCACACCACTGTGAAACTCCTGCAGAACAGAGCTTGCAGGGAGAAATGCTCGTGACTTGGCAATTACTTGGAGGAGCTGTGTTCGCTTGGGGGGGTTTGAGGTTCATTTACATATCTAACAATCTGTCAGATTTTCAACTCTTTGTCCGATTGTGAACATGATTTTAGAGATGTGTTGGGTTCATACACTGGAAAACAAGTTATTTGAATTAAATGATTTGGCTGATTTTCCTCTATCTAAAAAAAAATGTACTTGTTGTTGGGGAATAATTCTCCTTTACTCCTAGATTGACGTTTATGACCAACCCTGACGTCTGTTATCTCCCTTAAGGAATGTGCTGCTCCAGCTTTATGTTTATGACCGGGCAACTCTCGGTCACAAATGGTTTATGGTTGTGAGAACGCTGGAACACTTCCTTCTCGGTGTTTGTGGACTCCAAGGTGTAATCTTCGAGGCCATGAGGGTCAGACAAGTGATCTAGTGTCCCCAGATGTTTAGGCTATCTCTAGTGTTCCCAGATGTTTAGTTTATCTCCCCCACTATGTTGATTACTCTGTGAACCAGTTTAAAAGGTCTAGCAAAAGAGAGGCGCTTCAGAATTGACGTGGCAACTCTCCCGTGCAGTCAGAACCTCTGGCTGTGTGAGTTGTGATGTGAGTCCTCCGGCCGATACTCGTAATAAACCATCAGTGTTTGACATCAAAGCTCCAACTCTCCTCGTGTCTCTCTGAGTCCTGACTCTCCATTGCTACAGAAGTTTCCCTTACACTTGTAATAAACAACTATTTAGATATGGACTGATTCAAGAAATCATGTTTAGTCAACACATGACAAGACAGGGACTTCAAATGTATAGTCTAATGTTAGTGTAATTTCATCATAATAATTTAAACCTAGACACTTGACATACTGTTCATTAAGACACATTCATATTTCCCAATGAGAAATCCTATTGTACCAGCATGTTTTTTATACTGCTAATTTGAGAAACATTTCAGACAACCAGGCACATCTTTGTTAAAGGAAGAAGTACAAACTTCACACAGAGATGTAAAGAGGTTGACTTCCAACAAAGTACAAACCGTGTGAAAGCAAAGATTAAAGTCAAAGTAGATTAAGTTTGTTACTGACTAAAGTGCTGTTCCATCGGTTTGTCCTGTGCTGCCAAAATAATATATAATAATGTCATAAAACCATTTCTTATTTTTTAACCTACAACTTTATCTGTGAACAAATGTGACAAATTCCTAAGTGATTGAAAGGTTAGGAATCTGTGAAGTCTCAGATCAGCCTCCCACAGCGCTTACTGATGATATATTAAAATGTATGTATGCAGCTGTGATTGACGAATATATGTGCATCCTTTAAAGGTCCTGAGTGCATCTGAGCAATCAAATATAATTGGTCTCGAGTGCTGGTTGCATTTTCAGTTTTCTGTATGCTATCTCATGTGAACATTAAATAAGGGTAAAGGATGCAACAGAAATCATGTCAGTTTTTGTCTTCTGTCCTCAGTGCTACCCCGCTCCAGACCTGTACGAGTCCATGCTGAAATACTTAAACATCCTCTTCACAGCCCTCTTCACACTGGAGTGCTTCCTCAAGATTATTGCCTTCGGCCCGCTGGTGAGCCCGTATGCTGCGCCGGGCCCTGCTCACACCATAACATTATTCACTGTTGTATTGTGTTTCTGTTTACACACGAGCGGGAAATCTCTCTTTGGAAATGTAAATCAGGCTGAGGGTGACGCCTGCATCAAGATGCTCTCACTGCTCAGTTCATTAAATGCCTGCCTTGTGAATGCTAAAAGCAGATGTTTAGATCGTCTTTAGTACTTAAAGAGACGCAGAGGGTATTTTTTTAATGAAGCAACTAAGACTTAATCACACTTGAAGAGATGTCTGAGGGATTGTGATTTTGTTTGTGCTAAAGTACAAAAGGTTTTTGCAGAGGATGGGTGAGAAGTCACAAAACGGTCTAAGAAAAGGTTTAAAGTCTCAAATTCAGGAACTATGAAGACAGACTAGAAAGAAAAAGAAGGGATGAGAAATAATAAATCTTCCCTCAACATGGGGCCGTCTGGCCCGCAGCGAGGCATTTCATCTTCAACTCCGTTCCATTTACCAGGCCCATTTATTAAATGGCTTTTCTCACACACCACTGGCCTCCACCTGTTTAGCTGTTAAGCCCAGACGGATGGACTCGCATCAGCTGGTCTAAACACTCTGCTGCTCCTCGCTGCAGCCTCAGGAGGAGGAGGATTGACCGGTCTGCAGGGAGCCAGGCTGCAGGCGGATATTTATTTATGCAGGGGATTGTTTCAGCATTTGTTGTGTTGTATATGTACATACAAATAAGTGTGCCCAAGGGAATGTCTAGAGCTCTGTGTGTTTTGGTGTGTTTGTATGTATTATTTATTTTGTTTTGTTCTTGCGATATTATTTTTCCATCTATCGAAATGTTGCCTAACCCCATGCAACTTTTGCATCTCCACATTTGGAAATGTAAGTTTATTTATATATCACTTTTCGACACAAGGCAATTCAAAGTGCTTTACAAAAAATGAAAGACATTAAGAAAAGGGCATTTCAAATCAGTCATTAAAAAGAAAAGCTAATAAAATAAACATTAAAAGAAAAAATACATGGATAAAAGTTACAGTGCAGTCTAAGATATGAATAGTTCAATTAAAAGCAGCGACAAAAAGAAAAGTCTTCAGCCTGGATTTAAAAGTAGTAAGAGTTGCAGCGGACCTGCAGGTTTCTGGGAGTTTGTTCCAGATATTTGGAGCATAATAACTGAACGCTGCTTTACCATGTTTAGTTCTGACTCTGGGGACAGAAAGCTGACCAGTCCCTGAAGACCTGAGAGATCTGGATGGTTCATAATTTAGCAGGAGGTCAGAAATGTATTTTGGGCCTAAACCATTCAAAGCTTTATAAACCAGCAGCAGTATTTTGAAATCTATTCTTTGACACACAGGAAGTAAACAAATTCCAAGACTGTAAACTGTGCAATATGAGAAGTTCTTGCACAGGTTGTGCGCTTTTGTTTTACAAAGACAGTTTTATGACACTGATTATATCTAATTCTATATGAAATCTACCGAAATGTTGACATACGGTGATTGGAAATAGATAGGCTGGGTAACTATTCAAAGTTTGAAAAAAAAGATTTATTAAAAATGTGTGAGGTCAAGAAGTCATCAAAAGTCGTGGGTTTGATTAAAAGTAATTTAATAGAATCTAAAAAATTATAATCTGCAACAATTTTGACAATCAACTAATAGTTGAGGTTTTTAAACTAATGTTTTTTTATCACAGTACGCTGATTATGTACTGCTTCATAACTGCAGTCATTGTGTTGTGACAAAACAAGCTATTTGATCAGATTAGTCATTTCTTGCTCAAAAATAACAAATCAAAGCTGTAGCCCTAGTTTGAACAGTTTCACACTTTAATTCAAATATGAAAAGCACAACAAATAATGCCGAAAACACTCAGAAACATAACAACGTTTGAATGAACTCATCTTGTGTTTCAGAACTACCTGAAAGCAGCGTGGAACGTGTTTGACTTTGTGACCGTGCTGGGGAGCATCACGGACATCTTGGTGACAGAGATTAAGGTAAGAGCTCTTCTGTCCTCCGTTACATACATCAGTCGCTACCTGTACCTGTCACTTTGTACATTTGATCAGGAGTCAGTGCATATAGCTGCTGCAGCATGCTGGGATACAGGAAGGAGATTTCCCGAAAGTTCTCAAATTAAGGACGTAAACAAATAAAAGCCAGGTCCCCTATTATGGCTGGGTCTTTGTAAAATGTCAAATCTAAGTTTATGAACTTAATTTAAAATGAATTCTGATGGTTTGTCGAAATTGGCTTCAATCTAAAACCTGCTTCAAATAAAAGCCTTTTACCCTCTGTAGCTAAAACATAATGGGAAGGTAGAAGAAGTGTAAAAGTGATGATTAGTTTTATTATCCGTTTGTTTTTCTGTAATTTCTAGGCTGTAATTTGTAAAATGTCAGAAAGCTGATCAAGACGTTAACATTTAATTAACAACTTTGAAGTATTGACACATTTTGGAAATTGTTGCATTTGACCTATTGTTTAAGGACTTATGTGTGTTGTATTATGTGTTGTGGTTATTCAAGATGGGTCTCTTAATTGTCTCTCAAACAAAACCAATTTCTTTAAACCACTTTAGCTGAAAAACCACAAATATGAAAGTCACACTTTGCTCTGCTCCCACAGTCTCAGTCCTCACATGCAAACTCAGCAGGGAAAACTGTAAGTGAGAAAAAATGAAATAATGCAAATTAATAAATTGGACTTCAGGCGGAGAAATATTGCTGTTACCATTTGCAGCATTTAGTTTCCTCTGTTGAAATCAGATGGAGAATGAACAGTTTTTGATTGTGGAGATAGAGGGCTAAGTTCTGTTGCTTTCTCTGTGGAAAAATCGCTCTCCTTCTTTGTCTGACCTTCTTGTTGATGTGATCATTAGTCTTCTTTTCTGTCTCTCCTCTGCTGTGTGTTTTTCTCTTTCGCTGTTTCCATCCTCTGCTGTGTGTGCCCTCACTCTGCCCCCTCTGTCACATCTGACACCTCCAGACGGTAAGTGGCTTTTCTTGTTGCCCGCTGATATAGTCAATTCCCCCGTCAGTGTGCGTTTCTTTCTCCCACAGTTTAAATTGCCTACCTACTGAATCCTACAGAAAAACACCCATTCAATTGTTAGATTGTTTGGTTTAAAAAATCATTAAAATCTGGAGCAATTTCAGTTAGACAAGAGCTGAAGTTAAATGCAGAAGTCTTTAGTCTGGTTGTTTTGTATTGAAAGTAGATTATACTATATCACTAACATCTCTGTATGGTTGTTAAACAATACTTTTAGAGCCTAAAAATACAGTCTACATCTGTTTAAGGATGACATGTTGAACCATAGACTGTATATATAAAATAACAAGTGACAGTCAAACCGGAAAACAAAAATAAAATGTCCTCTTCTGTGTAATGCTTTTTATTAATTTGGATAGTTTTGGGGTGAGTTGCCGAGTGTTGGAGGTGTCGGTCGTAGTTATGTCTGCCTTCTCTCCAATATAGTCAAACTTGATGGCACTTGGCTTGTGGTAAACAAAAATAAAGTTTAGAAAAGCTCAACAGCAATATCTCTTTCCAGAAATCAAGAGCAGGTTACTCAAAATAATCCACAACCTTGTTGTTTGTAGTTTGTATGTAGGAACTATTTTCTTTAAACCATACTTCAACCACAAACCTGTGCGCATTAACCTAATGTCCAATAATTGATCGGTGCTTACTTTTGTGCAGTGATACATTTGAAAGAAAGTTGTTTCTAATGAGTTGAAAAAAGAGCCACCATAAGCTAATTTTGAAAAGATGCGCACTCCCTTCTGTGTAGTGAGATATGGGAAAGAAAGGAGTTGTTTGATGATGTTTCAGGGGTTGAAGCGATAGTACAAGTATTACTCTGCATGTAGCCTTAACTATGTCACTTCTTATAGCTATCTACTGGTTTGCTAACGTTAGCCGTCATAAGCTACTTGTCAATAGATTCGCTGTTCCTTCTACGCAGTGATACATAAAAAAGAAAGTAGTTGATGATGTTTGAGGGGTTTGAAAATGCTGTTTTTTAACTTTAAAAGATATCTACCTTTGTTTTGCTAACGTTAGCCACCATAAGCAAATGGTAATACAAGACCAAGTAGGGCTGAAGCAGACCTGTATCTGTACAAACTTGGAGTGTGTTTCTTTTGCTTTGAATTATACCTTTTTTTGTTTTGTTTCCAAGAGTTTTATTTTGTGTCTTCAGATCCTTTTTTATATTGGGTTAATTACCTCACACTGTCTTTGTTTTGCCTCCCAGGATAAGATGATCAACCTGAGTTTCCTGAGGCTCTTCAGAGCTGCGCGCCTCATCAAATTGCTGCGGCAGGGATACACCATCCGCATCCTGCTGTGGACCTTCGTTCAGTCCTTCAAGGTGAACACACAGTTACCTACACACACAGACTCACAGTGCCTCTTGATATGTGTGTACAACTTGTAAGAAACTTGATTTATGTAGCAGATTTCAAAAGAGGTGTTCCACCAAAAGCGATGAGAGAAGTTCAGTCAGGAAAGACACAAGTGGAATACAAATGTTATTCAATAGGTTATAATGTTGAGCTTGTGTGTTAGATGTATTCACGGTTGAACAAAATGATGTTACACAAAAAAACAAGCTGTGCTATAAAGCACGTTAAAAGCAGGCCGAGCACACTGCAGACTTGCTATGTCAAATGGATCTAAATAGCTCTTTGCAGACAGTAGTTGGGATTTTCACAGAGTGCCGCTTCGCTCTCCAAATCCTCTGGGACAAGTCGAGTTAAATGCGGAGCGCCGGGGCACGGTCGAAGGAATTTATAGCAGGTTTAATGTCAGTGGTGAGAGCTTTTAAGCCCAATGGAAATGGACAGTAGAAGCAGAGTGTTAATACTGTAGGTGGCTATTTAATTACAACAAATGGTCGCGTCCTCCTCGCTGAGATAAAAATAGCTGATTTAAAAAAACAGACCCTGCAGGTCAGGTTGACTACGCAGGTTCTTAACACTAGAACCGCCAAGGGGTCAATTTTACCCGCAGCTGTTTTTTGATTGTATGTAACTTTTTTTCAATAAAATATTCAAGTCTCCCAGTCCGTGACTTTTCCTGAAAGTGTGTTATGTAGCACCCTCTGTTGTTAAACATTGTCGATATGAAGTCAGATTGAAAAAACCGCCAAGAAACGTATAAGTTTCATCCCTGTGCGATCAAAACTCACTGTTCTGTATGATAAATAAAAGAACATTGTACCTTGAAAATCAATAGCGGGTAAATGTGACCCGTTGGCGGTTTTAGGTATACAGCGACCTCTGGCGGTTCTAGTGTTAAATAAGACTGTACAATCTTACAAGGGCACTGGTCCTCTTTGAATAATTCGAGATGTGAGTGTGTGTGCAGAGGCAGACGGAAAGATCAAGAAAGAGCTTGTGTGTGTCTCTCAGTGTCTTTTAACTCATCTGTTTGCTTTCAGGCTCTGCCGTATGTCTGCCTGCTCATTGCCATGCTGTTCTTCATCTACGCCATCATTGGAATGCAGGTGAGTTGTGAATATGAGCAGCTGGACTAAAGGAAGTTAGACTGTAATGATTCAGTGATGGATGTTCAGTATGGAGGTCCTGCGTACGATACACAGCCTTGTTACCCCATCAACAGCTGTCTTTACCTTTTTCTGCTATAGCATTCCTCTCAGAGATGCCTGGGATGGCTTACACCTTTACTATTAAATCATTCTACATCAGCGGTCACATTATCCAGAAAGGATACATTACAACATGTCCTGATAGAAGAACGTTGTGATAATGAATATAGAACGTCAAGATACAACTTGTCGACTAGGCTAAGCATGGCTAGCTATTTTGTCACCTGGTTGCTATTAAAGTGTTGTTTAAGCGTTTTTTAAACGTAGTTAAGTAAATGTCCTCCAGAACAACACCACACACATTTCCTTTAAAAGCTAACGCTGCATCCACACATACTGACACAGTCTCAGTGAAAATGTAATATTAAACATTTCACAAAACAAGTATATGTTGCATGTCTATTGCCTCGCATTGCATAAGATTGTGCAGGTGTTTGTACAGGTAGCTGATGGAGGATAATCTACTTTTCATTCTTCTTACATTGTCACTGTTCGGGTGCAGAGGAAGTTAGTCGTTGGCGTCGTACTGCACAGGGTCAAGATGCTACATTCATATTTGACGGCTGGCAGATGTCTCTTCGGCCAGCAGCCAGGGGTTTCAGGCCAGCAGGGTGGACATGCCCAGGGGCAAATACATATTTAAAAAGAGACCTCTGGGTTGTTTTACTAGACTCGCTTTGGGACGATACAACCTTGTGATAATGCATATATTGCACGAGTGACAGATAAGGGAAATAATACATAGATAGAATTTATATCTAAGAAATACAACTTTAGACTTCATTGAGAAGTTCACATGTATTCAGATGAACAATACAGCTTTTCCCTTTTCTCTAATGACTAAAAGTACAGTGCAGCCAAAGCTGTTCGTACAAAAGCTAGCATAGGCATAACAATGTTTAAAAAAGGTATGCATAACATACTTTGTAAAATAAACAAAAGAAAAGGAACACAATGTATATAATAAAATGCAAAAATGATTGTTGGTATTAAAAACAGTTTGGGGTCTTCAGTCTGAAATCTGTGGACACTAGGCTTAGTTGGGTCAGTCTTGAAGCCTATTACCGTTTACATCTTCTTAAGCACTATATAACTATGAATAAATAGGCAACAACCACATTTAAATTGTAATGTATTTTAAAGGAATCTGCTTGATTAGAGCTGTTTATGCAGCTCTCATTAGATTCTTATTAAAACAAATCTAGATCCTGATTGGTGCAAACACGTATGACATTATGTTCTCCCGCCCACTTCAAATCAGGGAGATGAACCGAGACAAAAAAGAAATGCATAAATCTGTCCTCTGATATAGCCCAAAGTGTTTTGGAAAGGAAATATGTATGTCACTCCGAGCCAGTCGCTTTAATGTCGTGGGTGTGGTCTGAGTTTGGGTCTCAGTTTGAGGAGTGGGCAGAACTCTTTAATCTCAGTTGACTTTTCCTTTTTGGTGTTGCATTCAATAACCAGCTACTCTCCTGCCTCTTCAGGTGTTTGGAAACATTGAACTGAATGAAGAGAACGCAATAAATCACCACAACAACTTCCAGACCTTTTTCCAGGCGTTGACTCTTCTCTTCAGGTAATCCTGCTTTTAGATTCCAAAAAATGTTGCTGTCCGAAAAATCCAGTATATGAACCGATAACTCCTGTGTGTGTGTTTCAGGAGTGCAACGGGCGAGGCGTGGCATGAGATCATGTTGGCGTGTCTCAGTAACCGGCCGTGTGATAGGCTCACAGGAACCGTGGGGAAAGAGTGTGGAAGTGACTTTGCCTACTTCTACTTTGTCTCCTTCATCTTCCTCTGCTCCTTCCTGGTCAGTGTGAAGGGAAACACGCCATCTGTTTTCATACTGCGTGTTCTGAGTGTACTGAATATTATATGGAAATGTAATGGCTGTTTCCACCCAGATTTTATGCGCTTTGAAATGATCCTTTAGCATGCTGTGCGAAGACACTAATTGGAGTAAACAAGGTCAGCTTAGAATGAGCACAGCTTACAAAATGCAAACGGTTAAAGAATATGAAAATGCAAATGAGCTGCTAACAGTAAACCATTTTCCCAAAGGTATTTTTACTTTTTAATCAAAATTGTGTGTAATATTAATTGATTTGTATAGACAAAAATAATTCAGCAAGTGGAAACAGTTGAAGAGATTTAAAAAATGAAAATAATCCCTTATAAATTGAGAAATCCTGGTTATTTATATTTTCAGTTTCCTGTTCTGTTATTTAAAAATAAATGTATTAAATGAAATGGGCAAAATCATACAATGTGATTTAAATACCTGCGATAAAGTAAAAAGAAAATCTAGTAGACTAAAAACATGAATATGATCCTTTTTAAAGTCTAATTTTTACCGTAGAAACAATTACCCTTGTTATCATTAATTATCTGACACTTTATCTATTGTTTTTATTCTCTAGATGCTGAACCTGTTTGTCGCTGTCATCATGGACAACTTTGAGTATCTGACCAGGGACGCCTCCATCCTTGGGCCTCATCACCTCGATGAATTCATCCGCGTGTGGGCGGAGTACGACCCTGCTGCCTGGTAAGTGCTCCTGCTCACCTCTGACCTGTACAGCTACAGTATAGTCCCCAATATCAGCCAGTTTTTGTGCAAAATAGCAAGGTGTTTGTGTTTATGAGAGGTGTAATAGCAAACGGGGAACTCTAAGCTGCGAGTTCCAGCAGGATGACTACCGGAGAAATCCCATTTTAGAGGCGGCGAATTGATGACGCTAAGCCTGAGCGCGGCGTTGGCGGAGGCTGGTGGCGAGCCTCCTGTCGGCCGGACTGATGCATGTAAATCCAGCGTTTTGCTCGGCATCCATTGCCTATAAGCCTGCAGGCTCCAAATCTCCTCTCTCTGTCACTGAAGAGGAACATTTCTATCCCTCTAACGGGGGAATAAAGGTTGATGTCTGCGCCCTCTCTGCCCCGCACACTGTCAGTGTTTAACGGGACTGAGGCACAATCAAGTTCTGCCTGAGACAGTGTGAGGCCTAATCTGTCTCAGATTATGTAAGGCTCATTAAGTTTTCACAGGAGCCTTGTCAGCGAGTCAGGACTCCAAGAGAGGTGTGAGATGTGAAATGCAAAATTGCCATCTCCTGACAGACATTACGGGGGAGGAATTATTATTTCTTCCTTTGACTATAAATGAGCTGCTCTCAGAGATGTGCCGACAGTTACATTCAGCCAGTGTTCGACTGCTTTTACTCATTGATATGTCAGTGAAAAAAGTATTTAAGGCTCGGGAAACTGTTTAAACTGATTTCAACATTTGATGCCTCTTCATCCAAAAGTTATTTAGTTTAAAAGTATACTCCATAGCTATTTGGGGAATTTGAATGGGGACTTTAACATTACACATTTTGTTGTATAAAAATGATGATTCCAGCATGTTTACACATAATATACATGACTATTGTAAACAAAAACAATAAGGATGAAATATTACTCCACATCACATGAAAAAATATATAATTTCCTTTCTTTTAAAAAAGGAAATTCTGAAAGGCACTGCTGTAATTCATGGCTACAACCCTGAGGGAAAATGAAAAATGTGGAGAAAAAAAGTCAAAATGAACCCCACAAAATACAGATCTTTGTTTCCTTTATACTGCAACTCCTTAAGTATCTACCTTAATGTGTATTCGTTGCTAACAGATTATTCAAGTAATGACATAACCTGTGACCTAAACTGTTGAACATGTCTTGTTTTTTCACAGCGGGAGGATATGCTATCAGGATATGTACAAATTGTTGCGTTTAATCTCCCCTCCCCTGGGCCTGGGGAAGAAGTGCCCTAACAGAGTGGCTTATAAGGTTTGCACTCCCACACAGTCCTTTTGTTTTCAATGGGACTGTGATGGTTTCGGACTGAGTGTGTTCTCATTCCCTGAGAATGACCCGACCACACATGCATACTGAAACACATCGATCCCCCACTAACCAGTTGGCAGGTAACCATGGAGAGTGCACGAAACAATGCCGCAAGTCAGCCTCAAACAAGAGGCATCTCATGCCATGTCTAAAATATGTCCCTGCTTTTAAATGAATGGGTAGTGAAGAGAGCATTGTGTGCTTTGTTTCCACTCTGGTCACCGCTAATGTCTCTTAGCATGCAGAAACAGAGGGCATGTTAAATAAATACTCCACTGAAAATCTATCTTTAGACTCTGAAATAAAAACAACCTTTAAAAGTGGCTCTGAAAGTCTGCAGCTCCTCCTTTGAGCAGAACCTCAGCTGGGGTTATTAAGTATTTCAATGACTCAGGGTCATGGCAAAAAGAGAGAAAAACAGAAAACTCTTGAATCACTAATTTCGTTCCTTTTGAGATATTATTTCAGTATGTTCCAAACACGTCATTTCTGTTCTGTGAATTGTAGCATAACACTGAAGTCTCTAAATAAACTCAATTTCACTTCTCTTGGGAGTAAACATCCCAACCTCAGTGGGAGAAAGGAAAAAACGAAACAAATATTTTGAAAAGCAGAGCTAGATACACTACGTCGTAGGGGTGTAACGGTTCACAGAAGTCACGGTTCGGTTCATACCTCGGTTTGGGGGTCACGGTTCGGTACGGGTTCGGTACAACAAGAAAAAGCAAAAAAAACTCCCAAATGCATAATTCCAGGTTTTTTGTTATTTATTTTTGAACAGTAGTGCAAGTTTCAGTTTAAAAATAAGGAACTCTGACATTTTGAATAATTAACTGTATTAAACAGTTAAAAACAAACCACAAACAGTACCACACACACTCAGATGGTCATATTATCTATAATGGCTGATGTCAAACAAAAAGGTTTCATCAAGCTGTAAAACTAAAAAGGATGTCTTGAAAATATGACATCATAAATAATAAGAAAGTGTTTCAAGAGCGCATAGTCGTTGAAAAACATATGCCAAAAGCTTCCGTTATTTATTTTGGTCTCACGGCTTTCATGTCTATTGTCTTCTTAAAAACAGCGGGGATCAGCTGTTGGCGTGTTCCATTAGCATACCGCACCGCTATTGAACAACGCCGACACACCGTGCTCGTCCGATCCACCACTCGCGCACTCCATCGTTGTTGTAGTCCACAGGGAACCCGAAATGTTCCCACACAGCTGATTTAAAAGAAGCAGGTGGGTTCTAGCTCCTGTGTGTTATCTGAAATCGCCATACTAACTTTTCTTCTTCTTGTATTTTGTTCGTTTTGTTGTTGTTTCTTCTTGTTCTTCATTTGTTGTTTAAGGGCGGCTGGCAAACAGCTTTTAGGCGCAATACCGCCCCCTGGATTATAAATAGTGTAGTGGATACTGCCCTGAATGACAGACTTTTTTCCCACTCGTAAAAAAAAAAGGCGTATTCGTCGTGTGGCGTATTCGTCGTGTGCCGAACCGTGACGTCCGAACCGTGACGGTACGGGACGAATACGGATACCGTTACACCCCTACTACGTCGGTATCCTTCTTCTTCTCTTGCCATGAAATAGTCCTGCAACTCTGCTGCATGCAGTATAGTAATCTATTGGAAATTGGAGTAGAGCAAATATAAGGCTCACAGCGAGGAAGGGGATTATATTTGCTGGAGCGGTTTAGGAAGATTCCAGACTTGGTTGCCTTTGGAATCCATTGTCCTGGGAATCAAAGCTGTAAACTTTCTAGAGCCAGCCGGGTGAATGTGTGATACTCAAAAGATCCATTTTCAGTGGCTTTAACATAAATTGCGCTCTCGTTCCCAAATGCATATCTTCCCCTCTTCATCCAGCGTCTATGCACAGGGGGTCCTCCGGAGCATTTCCCCCTCCCTCCTCCTTTGGGATCCATTCCTGAATCCTTGGATCCAACCAGGATGGTATCCAAATCATCATATCCTGGAAATCTTATTAACAAGGATTTCTGTGTTTTCCTCTTTTTCCCCCTCCCATTCTCTCTTTTGGATTTTGCCGCCTTCTGTTATCATGTAACTCCCCCTCCCCCTCCTCACCTGGGAAATCTGCATTCCTCCTTCCATGGCCTCCTCCTACCATCTTTCCCCCCTGGAAGCGGCCGCATGACTTACCGTGACATGTACGAGATGCTTCGCGACATGTCCCCTCCACTAGGTTTGGGAAAGAAATGTCCGCCCCGAGTCGCCTATAAGGTAGAATCACTCCTTCCCTCCTCTCCCCCCCCCCTATCCTCCCCCCTCCTCAGTCACCTCTGGTTCACCTGCTTCCACCTGTCAAACATCTTCAGGCTTGTGTCAGTGTGTCACCGTCTCTTCTGACCTGCTGTTGTGTTGTTCTTTCTGTTCCTCTGTGACGCTCTGGCCCTGTGCTGCCAGGGTTTTGTGCATTTCATCTACAACAGGGCCATGTTACAGATAAATACAAATAGATCAGAGGTTAAAACCATAATATTTGACTTCTTAGTGAGCCTCTTCTTAGCTTATAGGTTTTGTTTTTGGGCATCTTGAAAGTGTAATGTCTAGTAGCCAGTTATTCTCGGGATGAGGTAGAGACAAACCCCCATTTATGACTTCAGGAAAGTATGTTACTCCGGGATTTGTATGTAAACCTTAGGGGTAAATGTATTTATATTTTTGTACCTGTTATCGATCACCAGGTTGCATCTTCAAATGTTATTTTGTGAACTCTCAGAAGTCTACATAAAGTGATTAAATCTTTGCACGGCAAGACCCTATATTCCCACAGCCAAAGATTTATAACATTGGTCTTAACCAAATCGTTTTTTCTTCTTAACAGACTTTAGAAATCTGTGAGATAAAGAAATTACTGTAGCTTTTAAGATGCACCCTGTCAAATAACTGGTAAAAAAATGATATTTCATTTTCAAACAATGGACAGATCCGTCTCAGTAAATTGCCATGGAATTCATGGTCCCCAGAGGATGAATGCTAAAACAATTGGGATCCCCTGACTTCCCATTTGCACACCAAATCAGCTGTAAAGTGCAATCTGGCATGCAATGTCTCTGGGAATCTGCGGCTGGTTGCGACCAAACCCAGAGTTAAAAGGAGATTTAACATTGGACTAAACTATGAATCAAATGAGGTGTAACGTTTTGGAAATGACCCAGCTATTTAGTTAAGGCTCTGTATTCAACGATCATTATTGAGTGAACACTGCTAGTCATTTAAAAACATTGTCCCCGTCTCCTCAGCAGCCTCTGCTCTGACTTGAATGATTTATTTCATGATTAAATGTAAGACTTTTCTTCTAGTAGAGTCAACGATCCTCAGGTTGTCCCTGAGCCAGCTGTTTACCTCTCAGCATGCAGGCTTTACAGTATGTGAATGGTTGCCATGCGCCCACGCAGCTGTCCACATGCATCACATTTAAGGCAGTCCTGCCCTCGCCCCAGTTGAAAATGTCTTGGTCTGACTCGGTCGCATATCCAAATATAACTCCTCTTTTTGTGAATCGGCAGAGAAAGACACGAACAAAGACGTACACAGAGAGAGAGCGCAGCACATGAGAGCAAGGCTAGGGTTTTTCTCCCCATCTCTATTTTTTCTATATTTCGCCATCCACTACTTTGTTAACCTCCCTCCCTCCCTCCCTCCCTCCCTCCCTCCCTCCCTCCCTCCCTCCCTCCCTCCCTAATGAACACATCTTCCCCTGACAGTCACAGTTTCCTCGTCACATTCTTGTTTCCATTTTCACGTTCTGTCTTCAGGCCTAATCTTCACTCTCTGCTTTAGATGATCTTTCTGTCACCCTGTCGAGGGATTTATTTCTTCTCCTATCTCTAACTTCTCTGTGGTGGTGTGTGGGTGTGTGTGTGGTTGTGTGGTGTGTGTGTGTGTGTGTGTGTGTGTGTGTGTGTGTGTGTGTGTGTGTGTGTGTGTGTGTGTGTGTGTGTGTGTGTGTGTGTGTGTGTGTGTGTGTGTGTGTGTGTGTGTGTGTGTGTGTGTGTGAAGCATGCATAGGTGTTTTTTCATGTGTTTCTATTTGTTCTGATGCTCAAGATCTGCAATTGTCATTCTTACTCTCTATGAAAAGATGGAAGACTCACTTGCATAGATGCTTTCCAGTTAATCCTCCCATCTCTCCATCCCTTCATCTTGAATGTTTTTGTCTGTCCCCTCATCTCGGCTTAAAGAGAATGCAAACCATCAGCTACCCTTCTCCTTTTTTTAGTCAAATGTTTTCTGATGGTCTTTCTTGCGCCTTCGGCTCTTCATTTATTTCTTTTAATTAGAAGTTCTATATCCAGCACATGTGTCTACCCCCCCCCCCCCCTGCCTCACTGTCAATGTGTTGTACTAACTCAAACATGCATGTGTGTGCGTGTGTATGTTTGCGTGTGTGTGAATCATTTTAATGAAGCATTGATCCAAAGCCCTGCATGGTGTGGATTTATGCTGATAGCTTTTTACTTTTACAAAACGAATGCCTGATGCATTTTGAGTTCTGAAGCCTAATGTAGAAATAGTGGTTAAATAACTATAAGCCTCTGTGGCTTCAAGTCTTTTTTTAATTAAATAATAAATCCATTCGTTTACAAACTGTCCGAAAAAAGTCCAAAGATTTCTGATTTCTATTGATATAAACCAGAAGCAAAGCAGCACATCCTCACATTGGAGAAATGTTAGATGTTTGATTGATACATTACTTAATCTTTATCAAAATGGTTGACAATAATAATATTCTAAAACCAACTCAGGTTTCATTTTTCAGGACATCAATAATTTCATTATTTTAACGACACTATAGAAGTTTTCTGAACAATCTTCATTCTGTGCACACATTTTAAAGTTCAGTTAAAGCTAATGAAAGGCCTCAGCAGTTTGATTTAGCAGACTTAAGGAGGGACCTCTCACAGTGTTTAAAAATACATTTTCACAACGAGCAATGAATGTGGATTTCCACCCTATCTTTGACAGTGTAGCCGTCCAGTGTGTTTGGAGAGGAGCAGAGATTACAGCCACCCATAACTCAGTCAGTCTACATCTGACATGTGAGTAAATATGAGACCTGATCTTGTTAGCGTACAGTAACAGTTTGATGGACAGCTTCCTGTCCAGCAGCAACCTCCCTGTTTCTCTTCCAAGTCATTATTTTCAAAACAAAGACATGCTGCTATATTTCTCCAGCAGCAGTGAGAGCTTAGCATGTTCTCTGAGCGCACAGTGGCTAATCATATTTCAGCTTTTAGCAGAAAAGGCTATGCTTTCGAAGGATTTGCAAAAGTCTCATAGCAACGGCAGCAGCTTTAAACTCCATGCATTCATGTGTTTACTGCTGTTAGCTTAAACAAGGTGTATGGTGGGCAAACTGGCAGAGACCTATACATTTGCTTAAAAATATGCATTGGCTAATTTAGAAGAAATGTAAGGAAACTTAAATGAAAGCATTATTATGAAATATTGAGATTTAAATCAAAGATTCAGTGCTTCCAGCTTCTCAAATGTGACAATATGAGGATTTTCTCTGTTTCATATAATGTACATTAAATATCTTTGGGATTCACCCTATTGGTCAGACTAAAGAAATCAAAAATTGGGATGGACTTTTTTCATTCTTTTTTGTAGACTAAAAGACAAAAAATGGTCATCAGAACCAAAATGTATAGGATGAGCGTTAATATAAATAGTCACTCCTTGCAACCCTTACTCGTAACTATATACGGGTTTTCCACCAGTTGTTTTATGGTAACTGTTACTGGTAGGGTGACTGATGATAAACTGACATCATTTAAGATGAAAATCATTCATTCATTTATTATTTAAAGACTAAGAATTAAGTTTAAAACGATTTTAATTTCTACTGTAGTTATTTATTTAATCCAGCCTCAGTTCTAATGTGGTGTTGGTTGTGTGTTCCTGATTCATGGTCCCTCCTCTTTGCTCCCACCCCTCTCAGCGATTGGTGAGGATGAACATGCCCATTGCGGAGGACAAGACGGTGCACTTCACCTCCACGCTGATGGCCTTGATCCGCACGGCGCTGGAGATCAAACTGGCATCTGGTGAGCGCCTAAAACTACAGATCCAGAATGCCTCGTGGCCGGACTGATGGCTCTGATTTTAAATCTGTGATGGCTGTGGTGCAGAGTTGATGTGACATGTTTGTGGGCCCATCCTCAGGGGTCCTGGCGCAGCATCTTTGCGACGCTGACCTGAAGCGGGAGATCGCCCGCGTGTGGCCCAACCTGTCGCAGAAGACCGTCGACCTGCTGGTGACCCCACCCAAATGTGAGTTGCTGTCCACTTGACCCTTTCAGAATCAGAATACCTGGGGCAAATGAATAAAAAAATTACACAATTTACAAAATACACATCCTGTAACAGTTCTTAGGATTTAGCAGCCATGTATATATTGCAGTTATTATCGGCATATATATATATTGCATATATTGTACATATATACTGTGCAATATATACCTGGCTGCTCAATCCTAAGAACTGTTACAGGATGTGTATTTTGTAAATTGTGTAACTCTTTATTTTATATTATATCATAACTTTTTTTTTTTACTTAGTACTTTTGAATGCATGTAACATATGTAACATTAAGCTGTCTGTGGCTCTTTTCTGCTGTAACAACGTACATTTCCCCTCTGTGGGACTAATAAAGGTATTCTGATTCTGATAGTTGGTATTTAACAACAAGGGGTATTTTAAATGTAATATTTTTGAAATAACCACCATGGCCCCTAGTAGACCCCCACACACACAGCAACACAGACTATAACAGGCTGTGTTGTTATGTGTGTGGGGGTCTACTAGGGGCCATGGTGGTTATCTGTTATTGAAATAATAAAATAATCTACGGAAGCATGGAGAAGCAAAACAATTATTGTGATCTATTTTCTAAGTCTGTCATAAATAGTTTTCTCTGTGAAAAACATTTTATCTGTGACACATCTGTGGCTCTCTCTGAGACCTATGTTGTTGATCACATGGCGCCATCTTCTGGCCACCTGTAGGAACTGCCTCTCACTCTCCCCTCTCCCCTCTCCCCTCTCCCCTCTCCCCTCTCCCCTCTCCCCTCTCCCCTCTCCCCTCTCCCCTCTCCCTCTCCCCTCTCCCCTCTCCCCTCTCCCCTCCTCCCTCTCCTCTCTCCCCTCTCCCCTCTCCCCTCTCCCCTCTCCCCTCTCCCCTCTCCCTTCTCCCCTTTCCCCTCTCCCCTCTCCCTTCTCCCCTCTCCCCTCTCCCCTCTCCCTCTCCCCTCTCCCCTCTCCCCTCTCCCCAGACAACGAGCTGACGGTGGGGAAGGTCTACGCAGCCCTGATGATCTTTGACTACTACAAGCAGACCTGTGCCAAGAGACTCCAGCAGCAGAACAACACAGGCTTACCTCAGGTACAGCGTGATAAGTATTCTGTACAAACTGTAAAGTCCACTGAGACAAATGTAACATTTGTGATATTGGGCTATATAAATAAACATTGATTGATTGATTGATTGATTGATTGATTGATAAGAAGTTCTAGTACTGATTGAAACAAGAATAACAAGATATAACTCCATTATACTGTATTTTAGGAGCAGATGCATCATCTACAGTTTTCAGTTAATTCCATATAGTCTCATTTAAGACTGAATTCAACCAAATGTAAGTCTAATACCTTGTTTCATAATCGGGCTTTGTGGTAGCCCAAATGTCATAGTTTCATGAAATTCTCAAGTATTTTTTGTTTACCTATTTGGATTTTTCGTGATTGGAAAATATTGTAATTGATTATTGTATGTTCATCTTGACTGTGTTTTAGTCATAATCTGTATTGTACAATTGAGAAAGAAAACGTACAATACATCTTATAACTGGATGAGATTGCTTTATATACACGTGTGCATATATAACTAATGGCAACAGGAACTATTTTTAAGAGATTACCTTTTACTGATTCAGCAACATGCATCATTGACGCGATTTTTCAAATAAAGGGAAACTTATTTCAACCAAATTGAGTTGTGAAAGCTGAATATGAGACTAAATAAAAATACTCAGAAAGAGGATTTTTATTTTTCATTTAAGCACAACTACATTTGACCTTTTGTAAAAACTGATCTCTTTCAGTGTGTATAAACGTTGTCAATCTGTCCTGCAGAGTAAACTCGGGACGCTGTTCCGTCCCGTACTGACCCTCACTCAGATAAAGGAAGTAGAACCAACGTTCCCCTTCCCCAAAAAGCCCAGCCCCCCCCAGCCTGAGCCAGAAACCAAGCTAGTGGCACTGCCCAGTACCAGCATCCCCTCCATCAGCAGGGACACAGCGTAAGTAACTGTCACACATATATTCTCTGTGATACATTACTGTCATGATCACATACTGTATGTTTACCTTGTTTTTGGAGTGCCTAGAGAAATGAAAACTCACTTGCAGGAACAATTATATGCTTTTAGTCCTGTTAAAATAAATAAAATAAATTCAGACTTTCCTCTCAAGGCTACCATACGATACGTCTTATACAGAAGAAACCAAATATATCCACAACATATGTGTAGCTTTTTTTTTTTCCTAATGTAAAATAATCTTTAGGTACAAGACAATATGTTTAGCGATATATAGGAATTGTGTTCAATTCGTTTATTATTATTATTACTTCTGTTTTTAACGTGGAATTGAAAAAAAGGGAAACTATCTTCATTATTAAACAGTTTAGACTGACACTAAGAAAGGTGTTTCCTCAGTTTAAATATGATCCTTCACGCTGTTTAGCTGCCAATATTACAGTCAGAACTCTTGTGAATTTTTAAACAGGCTAAACCAGACGAGGGTCATAAAACATTCCCAGTCCGGAGACGTTTCTCAGATGGCACAACAGAGACCCAAAGTCCGGAGGAAACTACAGAGAGGCCAGTCAGAGGATGTTCCCTACACCACCAGACCTCAGGTACTCCAAGGAAACTCTATCTTCAAATGTTATTTCACATTATATTGTTCTGTGTTACCCCCATACACCGTACTACATGTTCTTTTTTCATGCAGGAATTCGTTGAGCTGACGAAGGTGGAGGACGTTTCAGACTCAGAAGCATATCCGAGCCTGGAGGGCCACTGCAGAGCGGCTTCTCTGCCCAGACTCAACGCTGAGTACTACGTAAGCTTTACAGCGGCGTGGAATACCTGAGAAATCATCTAACAGTGGCTTCTGAGGTGTAAAACATGATAGAAATGTCCGTCTTTGGCAGTTGAACAGGTGGATGAGGTAGGCTGAAAAAAGGCTGGTGCAATACTGAGTGGTAGCCCTTTAGTGAAGCAGCCGCTCTGTTGCTCCGTCAGTCCACATCAGTTCATCCTACTGACCCCCGCACCACCTCTCCTCTCTGACAACTTCACATTTATCACAGATGAGGAAACTCAGGATAGAGATCGACTCGGCAAAGGATGCGTGAATGTGTTGATTTGATTTGTATAAGAAAGTTATGAAAAGACACAAAAAATGATCCGATGCTGGTTAAACAGTGTGCCAACTTTTACAAATGGACACAAAGGGACAGACTGTTTTTGATATTTAGATTTCATTTAGGGGATAAAATACGTATTTTCCATCTTTTTTTGAGGGTTGCATGAGAAGATCAATCCCACACTGTACCGTGTGCAGCTAGGGTTAAGAGGCTTATCATATTAAGTAGTCTCAAAAATATAAATATTATTTTTCACCATATCCACAGTGTGGATAGAGATCGACTCAGCAAAGAATGTGTTGATTTGTATAAGAAAGTTATGAAAAGACAACAAAAAAATCAATTGCTGGTTAAACAGTGTGCCAACTTTTACAAATGTACACAAAGGGACAGCCTTTTTTTTATATTTAGATTGCATTTAGGGGATAAAATACTTATTTTCCATCTTTTTTTTAGGGTTTTATGAGAAGTGTTCTGCGTTTAGTACCGTGTGCAGCTAGGGATAAGAGGCTTATCATATGAAGTAGTCTCAAAAATTGAAATGTTCCACCATATCCACAGTGTTTTAATTCATTAAGTCCTTTTGTATTGAGAATGAAAATAATTTGATGGATTACAGATACTGTTTCCACATGGTACAGTAAGTATTGAACCTCATCGAGATAACATGTTAACACATAACATACATTACTGTCAGTGAGTTAATTATCTTAGATATCTTATGGATGTTATTTTATAATGTTTTAAATGTCTTCGGTTGGATTATTATCATATTTTGTTATAGTTCATACAATAGTCAAACTCAACTGCAATCTAATTTATCATCTGAGTTTTGCATATCCCTTGATTTTAAATGAGTTTCACCGACTGCCTTCTGATACTTGTTTAACTTTCATTGTCATTCTGTGAGTTACCAGCGGCTCTTGTCTGTTGCATATTTGTTTCATGTCAGGATGATTTTTCTGTCTGTCACTTGTCTGTCTCCTGGACTGTCTCACCTGTCTGTTAGCTTCTCTGTGTCTTTGTCCCCAACGCACTTAACATGTGCTTTCCTTATGTGTATGTTGCATTTTGCCCTCTTACTCTTTCTATTCTCTTTTCAAGAAAAAGGCTGCATTTATTCTACATATTTTTTCATTGTCAACAAATGCCATAACAAGACCAAAACCAGCAGTTTGTAAAGTTGTTCTTTATGTAAAGATTTAAACTAATGGAACCACTAATGGAAGCCCAATGCATTTGCAGTATTAGAGCTAGTGGTGATATTGATGGGTAAAAAATGTCTAACCAACTCAGGACACACAATGGCTGATGTCAGGACCGCCGTGTTTTGGTATAAATGCACCTTAGTATTTGTTTTCCATGTCCCAGCAGTAGTTTTTCCAAACACAAAGGGGGATATTATAGTATATTATATTATTAAGCGTCTTTGAGCACCTGTAAAAGCGCTAACAAATTAAATCTATTATTATTATTATTATATGGAGCTAACACAGCAGGAATGTTCTTTAACTCAATCGTTTTTGAAGTCGTATACTTAACAGTTACTATGGTGGAGAAACAAATAAAAGAGCTTTAATGACAAGTCGGATGAAACATTGTTTGTCTTCATCAGGGCAGTAAAAGAGAACAACACTGATATCTTCCAGATTTTAACTTTGACTATTTCATTGAAAAGCTGGGCATTGTAGTTTTTAGCAAATGTTACACAAATAAGACAGAAAAAACATATTTGTCAGGGACATTTTTCAATCGGCATTTTTCCTCTCTTAACTCCAGTCCGTCAGTTACTATTTTAACAGCATAAAGTATGTTTGAGCAAACAATGTGAATGCCTTCTTGGTGATAAAGTAGCATTTTACCCAGTGTGGCTTTATGGCAGATGGAGGAAATAAGTGTCTCAGACTTTGAAGATACACAGACACTTTTTATTAGATGGATAAACACAGTGTTGATTTTGGTCTTGTCATAGTATTTATTGTCAATAATTAAATACATCATGTCACCAGCCTCATGCTTCCTGAGTCTCCTCTCTCCTCTTCTGTCCTCCCTCTCTGATTTGATGCCCACTGCTAATGTTTGCCCACCTCTTGTGTGTGCTGTCTGATAGCGGAGCCACCCTCGCCACGCCCCTGGGACCCACCTGGCAGTATGTACCACCTGTTGTGCCACCTCACTCATTCACTTCTTCTTCTTCTCTCCTCCTCTCCTCCTCTCCTCCTCTCCTCCTACACCCTCTTCTTCTTCTGTCATGTCTGTGTTTGCCTCCATGCGCTCCTCTCATATCAGTGCAGAGTTCACATCCTCCTACATACAGTATACAGTATATTCCTGTCATTACATGGAATTGAAAAACATATATTTACATTACAGTACAGTATTACACTTCAAGTCAAATGTGGTGGTGTGTACTGGATGTGAGTTTCATTATGTAGTAGTGTAGTAGTGTATTTTTGTGAGTCTGTGTGTGATTTTGGAACAAGGCGGAGACAGTACTGCTGCTTTCTTGCTTTGAAATAACAATTTTTATCTTTTTCTTCTAACTTAACCATAAAATACATCTAACCTTATCGGTCATTTGATGTTACGTTCAGTCTTAAAATCTTTTTGTAGCACACAAATACAAAAGCAAAGTCTAATTTATCACTTGACCCTTTGACTGAACCTCACTTTCACACTCCTTTTAGTAGTTTGAAAGAAAAGGGGGGTTTATTTTACTAGCAATTCAAGCAACTCAACTGATAATTAAGATTTTAAGACTGCATACTATATACAATGACTTAATATGGATCTTTTCCAAAGTGTTGTGATATTGTTGTTTCTGACTATAGCTACAGGCCAGGCTGTGAGGTGGGAACATGAGGAACAGCACAACCACTCTAAATATGTCTGTTAATGAATTTAAATATAGTCTGCGTCATATACTGGCTTTCCAAAGTTTTTATAATAACTTGACAGATGCACTTTCAACGCTATGCGAAGCTGTCTGAATATGTACTGATACTTTCGGAAACTAAAATCATGAAAGAAAAACAATTCCCTATAATAATCAGACATGATCCATGCAGTAGCCACCAGGTGGGGTGGTAACTTAGCTCCAGTTCCTTCCTACATCAGTCTATTGCCTGCTAGTTGCACTGTCAGTCAGATCAGATGAGGTGGGGTGAAGGTCAATGTCCTCAAAGCATTAGTGCCAGTATACATCCATGGAGAATGATTGGTATATGCACGATTTTAAGGGAAGTCACCACTGAATACTTAAAGCCAAACATAATCTATATCTTATTTTTTTAATAACAATATCACATGACTATATTAAAACAATGTGATATGGGAGAGGGGTTACTCATCTTTACATGTTTTAGTGGAATCAACCTTTTGGTAAATAAGCAAGTATTAGCTGCTACAGAAAAGTACACTTAAGTCAGAAATGAAATTATAAAAATGCCATAAAATGCCTATACATATGCTACAAAGGCCCATGTCCACAACCCCCCTCATTTTTTGACGAGCAGAGATTACTGCTAGCTTACGTAAGTATTCAAGTTTTGTCACAGATTTGTGTTCATTCTTCTCACTTTTTTCTTACATCTGTGCGTAGAGAAGAACGGGTAGAACGTCAGTCTTAAGACAACCGTCCACTGGTTGTGTCGTTTGTGTGTTGTGGCTATTTTATTGATCCAGTATAAGTGGTTTTGGTGTAACACCACAGCCGCCCCTCTCCTTTTCTTCCTACTCATCATCATGTTTCTTTACCCTCTCAGCCGATTGTGGACCTGAGTCCCATCAAGCGCTCGGCCTCCTCGCTGACGCCGCAGCACTACCAGGAGGTCGGGCTGAGGGAGTATGACCTGGAACAGCCCGGCTTGGCTCAGTCCCCGACGGGCCCAGGTCAGATCCAGGACCAGGACAGAGCCCACCACCATCACCACCACCACCGCTGCCATAGACGCAGGGAGAAAGATAAAGACAAGAAGCAAAAGTCTCTGGATAGAGCTGGATCAGTGCAGCCATCCAGCACAGTTGGTGAGACAAAAAAACGTTGATGATAGATGATAGACAAAGTGACTTTATTCACATTTCAGTAAGGTACCTTTAAGTAAAACAAGCATTACAATCACTGTCTGTGACTGATGAGGTTAAAGGAGCAGTGTGAATGATTTGAATGAATGTATTGCCCCCCATTTGTTGTAAAAGTGAAGCCAATAGGAAAAGGACTTATACTTGAATTCTCTCTAATATTCAGCACGATTGACTGAAGTCAAATGGCACAGAAGTCTATGAGAAAATTCACTTTATTTATCATCTGAGTTACATTTGCTTTCAGAGTGTATGGTCTCATCTGATTGTTTGAAGTCCTCTTCAAAATTGCACCTTATTGATTTTGGAAATGTAAAGATTATAAAGCAGAATATGTTTCAAGGAGTAGCTTGTGATTGAGAGGTGGCTAACTAACGTTGGTGCTAGAGAGGGCTTCTCGTCTTTGTGTGTTACCTGACGGGCACCATGGGTTCTTCATAACGCTTAGAAAAGAGAGGGGTGATCAGAATGGTATGCAGTTGATTGCAATCTGCAACGTCACAGCTAGATGCCACTGGAACGCTCACAATGCAGCAGGGAGATTCAATGTGCCGCTATCCTGTCATTAACAGTAGTGGCCACACAGAAAAAAGGGTTACAGTCTTGCTTCACACGCTCTGTCTACAACGCTAATATGAGTGTAAAACATTTGACCGAATGTCATCAAATAGAGCTTAATAGTCAAGGTATTAAAGTATGATAAAAGTAAATGAAGTGGCTTATTATAGTTTGTTGAGAGATTCATTATTTTGACTGGGCTATTCATATAATACAGCGATAAACTTAGAAACTTGGCACCACTAATGGAGAGACAGCGATGGCAGGCCAGGCTTTCCTTGTAGATTACTCTGACGTCTCATCGTAGCTGCAGACATTCTTTATAGGATTAAGGTTCCATGATCGGGTTATGTAGGTGAAGGGGTTTCTGCTGCGCTTCATCCAGGGATTTTACATGTCAGGCTTTCCATCTGATTAGCACAGCGAAGGAAAATCTGCTTTGCTGGGGATTTCTGTTCCTTTTTGTTCTATAAGTAGTTCCCTTTGTTCCCCATGACCCTTAACAGTTGTATTTATCAAATGTAGACTGAGCTCCACTGACTTCACACACTAAGATAAAAGGTTGTCCTAATTTATGGATGGGATGGGATGGCAAACTGGAATCAATGGTTATTGAAAATAAAACAGATGTTGCTTTGCCAGCTTTCAGTGTGGGCTTGAAATGATGCAGAGATGTCTAAAGACCTTTAAAGGCGGATTGTGATTGTAATGCTGTTGTCAAGAGTATAGATACCCAGCATAGAACCTTGTGGTACCCCTTTTTTATTCTATGGGGTTGTTTTAAGACCAACAGTACAAACTGCCTGTGTTGTGTACAGTCTAGTTCTGAGCAAAATCATCCAAAACCCAGCACATGTGTTGGTGCACTTATGGTTATGGTTAGACAAGTAAGATGCAGCTGTGTCAGCTACTGTATAAAGAAACAGTGACCCATTTTATAAAAAAAAAATCAGTAACTTCATACCATTCTTTTCACACTGTCCATGTTTGTTTATTATTTTCCATCAGTGTGAGGTTTTGGGACAGCTTTTCGCAGCGTCCATAAATGCACATCAGTAAATATTTTCAAACTGATATGCAGAAGTAAATAACTTTTACAATGATGTTTTATATTAGTTTGAGGAAAAGAACAAAAAACAGGAGAGCTTTGAACTGATGTCACTGAACACTGATTTATTGGAATTTACAGCGGGAGAATGGAAAAGGCCATTTGCTGTAGCACTGTAGTGTCAGAGCCTCTCGCCAAAACAACTCTGTAGTTCCTTCTCCTAAATGGCTCTTTTTACCCACAGAAAGGTAGTTATCAAACCTTCACTCAGACAAACAGACATAACCAGTTACATTTCAGCCTCCAGAGGTCTCTAACGTATAGAGCATATTGCATATATGACATCCTATCATTATCTGAAGGAGAGAATGTTGACAACCTTGCATTATGCATATTCACAAGTAAGGTGGATGTCATCTCTTAACACAACTCATGAAGAGATCCTGAGAAAACAAGCGCCAGCTAAACTTCATACAATAGGGCAGGGGTTTTCAAAGTGTGGGAAGGTGAGCCTCCCCTCAAGGCAAGGCAAGGCAAGTTTATTTATATAACACTTTTCAAGACAAGGCAATTCAAAGTGCTTTACAAAAAATGAAAGAGATTAAGAAAATGGCATTTAAAATCAGTCATTAAAAAGAAACCTAATAAAAGAAACATTAAAAGAAAAAATACATGGATAAAAGTTACAGTGCAGTTTAAGATATGAATAGTTCAATTAAAAGCAGCGACAAAAAGAAAAGTCTTCAGCCTGGATTTAAAAGTAGTCAGAGTTGCAGCGGACCTGCAGGTTTCTGGGAGTTTGTTCCAGATATTTGGAGCATAATAACTGAACGCTGCTTTACCATGTTTAGTTCTGACTCTGGGGACAGAAAGCTGACCAGTCCCTGAAGACCTGAGAGATCTGGATGGTTCATAATTTAGCAGGAGGTCAGAAATGTATTTTGGGCCTAAACCATTCAGTGCTTTATAAACCAACAGCAGTATTTTTGAAATCTATTCTTTGACACACAGGAAGCCAGTGTAAAGACTTCAGAACAGGAGTGATGTGATCCACTTTCTTAGTGTTAGTGAGGACTCGAGCAGCGGCGTTCTGAATCAGCTGCAGCTTCCTAATAGATTTTTTAGTGAGACCTGTGAAGACACCATTGCAGTAGTCGAGTCTACTGAAGATAAAAGCATGGACAAGTTTTTCCAAATCCTGCTGTGACATTAGTCTTTTAATCCTAGATATATTCTTTAGGTGATAGTAGGCTGATTTAGTAACTGTTTTAATGTGACTGTTGAAACTCAGGTCAGAGTCCATGACTACACCTAGATTTCTGGCTTTATCTGTTGTTTTGAACATTGCAGACTGAAGCTCAGCGCTAACTTTTAAACGTTCTGCCTTGGCTCCAAAAACCATTACCTCAGTTTTATCTTTGTTTAATTGGAGAAAGTTCTGACACATCCAGTCATTGATTTGTTCAATGCACTTACTCAGTGTTTGAATTGGAGCATAGTCTCCTGGTGAAATTGTCACGTAAATTTGTGTGTCATCTGCATAGCTATGGTAACTTATTTTGTTGTTCTTCATTATCTGAGCCAGTGGTAGCATGTAGATGTTAAAGAGAAGAGGCCCCAAGATGGAGCCTTGAGGAACCCCACATGTCATATTTGTCAACTCAGATGTGTATTTACCTATAGAAACAAAGTTGTTTCTGTCCTTTAAGTAGGATCCAAACCAATTTAGAACTGTTTCCGAAAGTCCCACCCAGTTTTCCAGTCGGTCTAGTAATATGCTGTGGTCAACAGTGTCAAACGCAGCACTGAGATCTAATAATACTAACACTGAAGTTCTGCCACTGTCTGTGTTTAAGTGGATGAACATAAGAACATAAGAACAGCCGGGCCCCCGCTCCCAATTATTATTGCTATTATTATTATTGTTGTTGTTGCTACAGTATAATGCAGGGGTATTATTATCCAGTGGAAAGTCCTTACCTACTGGCCTATTTAAATCAAAGTGGTTACTTTTTGTGGCTGGGCAGTGTAGTTTTACACACCGTCTTATTTGACTTTCTCAGGACATACAACTGTTTTTTCGGGGCAGACCCCCCCGCGAACGAGACTATTTTTTTTTGTTAAGTAATACAAGACAGAATGATGTGATGATCTCCGCGCTATAGCTGCTCCGTGCATGCATGCAGTGACATGGATTAGAGACGGTTGAATGCTGCTGGTTTGAGCATTGCAATATATTTATTTTCACTGTTATTTATTTATGATTATCCTTGGGCTCAGCAAATGTTTGATGTCAGCTGTTGCTGTCTTTTTTTCTATAGTTAATACTAGTTACTGAAATAGAGCCCTGCTGTTTTGTCAGGGCCTTTTCTTTAAATATAATTTTAAAATGTCGATACAGTAGCCCCTTTTTTTAAATGTCTATGCTTAAGTTGTTATAGGTGTTGGGTGGTATCAGAGAGTTACACGGGTCTGTAAATGCAATGAAAACATTTGGCCACAGCAAATCATTTATATTAAACATGTAATTTTTACATTTGAATACTTCAGTACAAAGGATGTATTGAATAATTTAAGTGATATATGTGTACACATATAAATAATTAGTCAAAACAGGGCTACATTTGATTTAATTATAAAAGGTATAATATGTGGTAAACTGAAGAGCCGTTTGGGAGCCGAAAGAGCCGGCTCTTCTTGGTGAGCCGAGCCAAATGATCCGGCTCACCAGGAAGAGCCGGAATTCCCATCACTACTTGCGGTCCGAATGCGCCGTCCCGTTCAGATGAAATCGCCACCAATCACATTTCCTCGCTCGCGCCAGGGCCGGTGGAGGGGTTACAAGGCTCGCGTCTTGTGCTGCATTCACTTGCACTCGGACATTAGGGATTTTCTCTCATAAATGTGAGCCACAACTTTTATTTCAAAACAAAGCTGACGTTTTCTGCCAGACGCTGTCTCCTCTTTCACTTTAGGTAACTTCACTAAAAACCGATCCATGTTGCGGCTCGCATAAAGTTAGCTGAAGTTAACTAGCTAGATTTCACTGTTTCTCGTAATTTTTTTCTCACGCTGCGCCTCCCCTGAAGCTCTCTGACGCCTCCCAGGGGCGGCGCGCCTCACACTTTGAAAACCGCTGCAATAGGGCACTCAAGGCCAAATGCCTGCTGCCTGTACAGACAGAGAAACATGAACTGAGGCAAGGAAAGAAGTGAAGGATTAATAGAAGGTGACCAGTGAAATAATTCTCTATCACAATGGAATACTTGTTTTCTTTGTTTGCCATCAGGGGTCGTCTGCTAGAGCGATTAGAGCCTGAGAACGGGTGGCAGGGTGTTTTTTGTGTTAACACTGGAGGGCAGCAGCTGGGCTTTATTGCCGAGATAAAAGGCCACAGTGGACAGGTCCAGCACATGGATTTATGGGTACCTCTTGGTGAGATAGCAGAACATCCCACAGCCCTCTGTACATCTATTAAACTGGGAGGAGCAGAGGGAGAGTTTCACTCCTCAAAGCTTGTCGTTCTCCAGGCAGATCCGACACATCACAATGATGAATAGGCTTCTGTGTTTCTGTCATCGCGGATTTAATCTAAAAAAACGAGTCATTCCAGCGCTGAAGAGAGAGTTGTTTCTTCCACAGTGCTTTGCTTTATGCCACACACCCAAAGACTAGATAACAACACACACACATACAGACAAACATAGACGAGCCATTTGTCTTTAATTAGAGGTGTAGTGAAATATCGTGGGATAACATTACACATCACAAAAACATGATACGTCTCGTGAAACTAAAACTGGACCACATGTTGTTGATGATGTTTACATTCTTTGGATTGATGGAGTGTATTATTGGTGTTGCAGGCCAAGTCTATAGAAAAACTATAAATTGAAAGCACGGTTATCGCCTGAGGAATGATGACTAAGGTTTTTCTACATTCTTTGAATTGATGGAGTGTATTATTGGTGTTGCAGGCCAAGTCGATAGAAAAACTATAAATTGAAAGCACGGTTATCGCCTGAGGAATGATGACTAAGGTTTTTCTACAGCCATAGTTGATTTTCATTCAAAGTCCTCATGTGTACACTTTGAAAATGTCTGACTCTGACATCCCTCAGGGAAATAACACGGCCACAAATAGTTGAAAGCAACGTGTACAATATGTGTTAGCAATTTCACCAGCATTGTCTAATTTTACTCTAAATCATATTGGCTTTGAAGTATGTTCAAAGTTTAATCTGTGCATCAAACTAAACCGTATGTATTGTATAGAACCGAATTGTGATCTGATGTTTTATGTCACAAAAATCCTCTTTGAATGAATATAAACTAAGCTTCAAAGTGATCTTCTATCTTATCTATCTTATCTCCTTTTTATTCTTTTTCTTTATTAGTTTTCATGGTGTTTACTACAGTTCTGAATGGGGACCCTTATGCAAAAACATGGCTCCATAGTAGGGCTGCTCAATTAATCGTATTTTAATCGCAATTACGATTATGGCTTGCAACGATTACGAAAATAACGTAATCGAAATATAACGATTACTTTTTTATTATTATTTGATTTTTGATTTTTTTCAGTTGAGTGAAACTTAAAGTTCAGGGTAATCAACTGTTAAAAACATACTGTTCAAAAAATAATTCTCCAATAAATTGATGTTTTCAAAGTAAATGGATAATCGTTTTTAATAATCGTGATATCAATTATTGACCCAAATAATCGAGATTATGATTTTTGCCATAATCGAGCAGCCCTTCTCCATAGTGTTGAAAAACTCCACAGAGTAGCTTTAATCTAAGACTGACTGAATATGTATTTTTCTAAATACAAAATAGATGATGTAGAGGGTAAAAGGAGGGTGATATTCTAAATGTATAAAACCTCTTAATTTTTTGTTGTTTTCCCCCTCGTAAACTAACAATGTAATCGTAGCTTCCTTATTACTATTTATATACTACAATGACCCTGAATGCTGTCATAGATTATGAGATCTAGTCTATTGTCTACCCTCTTCCCCTGATTTTGTTTGATGGTGCCGTCCTCCAGATTCGTTCACCGACCCTTCAGCGGAGGGTTTGTCCAGAGAGCGAGCGAGGGAGCGTGACCGCAGCCGGCCTCATGAGAGGAGGCATCACTCCTCAGCAGGAGAGAAGCAGCGCTACTACTCCTGTGAGCGTTACGGCAGCAGAGAGCAGTGTCACACCAAATCAGCCGGTCCCAGCAGATCCACGTCACCCGGAGAGGGGCAGGACGCTGCTCTGCTCAGACAGGTCAGTTACTGCTATATGTTCCTCAGTGATTGACAGCTACAGTAGCTTGTGCACAACCCTTTGGTCTGATTGTTTTGGACAATGAAACATTGGATTTGAAGCAAAAACTGACTGTGAAGTTAAAGGGTTACTCTATTTCGTCTTTGCTTATACATTACATAACCCATATTCTATTGACTTATATTGTTCTATTTGCATGCAAAGTAATACTACTGTATATATTTAAGTATCAACATATTGTTTTGTGATGGAATAAAACCAAACCAAACTGTAAAAACTAAAGATAATATATAACAAATCCACTGCAACTGTTTCACTGGTCTGTTCCAATGAAAGCCCCAATTTGGAACTCGGAAACAGGCAGTTTGTAGGATTTAGGTTTAGGCAGGAATACTTCATTATATTCATTTTGGTGTTTTCATTTGTACATGATCACCTGAATAGGTATAGTACTTATCCTTCACACTTTGGATATTTCCGATCATTTTCGATTTACGTTCTTCTAATTGACCTGCAGAATCATTGTGTTGTATATCATTTGTGTCCTCAGCATGGTAGCAGTGTGGTGAAAGCTGTGCCGCTGCCCTCGGGTTCGAGCACTCCGGGCCGCGGTCGCAGGCAGCTCCCTCAGACCCCCCTCACCCCTCGTCCTGCCGTGGCTTACAAGACCGCCAACTCCTCGCCTCTCCAGCCCAGTGCCAGCGCCGCCACCACGGGGCCCCAGACTCGCTTCAGCCGCGGCCTTTCAGAGCACGATCGGTTAAACTGGGGCCACGACGAGTCCCCGATCCCCGTCACACGCATCGGTTCGGACTCTAATCTAAACCGGCAGTCGCAGATCTCCCCTCAACAGGCGTCCCATGGAGAGGACTTCCATGACTCTGTGAGTAGCCACGGAGGGGGACGCTTTGCCCGAAACGCAGCCTCCACCTCCACCACAGCCTCGGCTTCACAAGGAACTGCCGCTGCGTCCGTCACAGCGGCAAACACGCAGGGTCGCTCGGGGGTGCCCAACGGGTTCCACTTCACCCTCGGGGTCAACTCTGCTGCTGGGAGCCGAGGGAGTCTCAGGGAGAGGGAGGACGAGGACTGGTGCTAACGTGGTGTAAACGTATCAGTGTTGTACAGCGCTCTAACTAAGGAAGCCGGCGGATTTATCCAAAAGGAAACTCTTTGAGGAAAAAGCCAGTGGAAAGTGCTGTAAAAGGGGATCAGAAACCATTCCAGCTTTGTAGTGTTTCTCCTTTTTTATAAAACAAACTTTTAAGGATATAAAGACACTGATGACTTTTTCTACCCCCTTTACTTGCACTGAAACTATAGCACCTGTGAAGACCCTTAAGTATTTTGCCTTGGCCAGTAAAATCAGTGATGGAGCAGAAGACAAAACGCCATCCTCATTCTTTGAGCGGAAGTGATCTGAATGCCTCAAAGCTGGTATCAACATGGCTGCTCACAACACTGTTTTATTTTTGTATGTTTAATGTTGTTTATGGTTGCTATGTCGGTGAGAGAAGAGTTACAACTTGATCATATTGATGCTTCCACCAAATGTTTTTTTCATCAGCCTTTACTTGGGGTTATCACCTAATTTTGTCCAGATGGAACCAATTTATGTCAATCTTAAACTTCTGCCATGAAACCTAAGGGACACACCGAAAAATGTAACATTGTGAGAGATTGGATTTAGAATTAGAGCCCAGTTTTCATAATCAGTTTTGTAAATTGTACCAGATGTACATTTTTTGAGTGCACATAGGGAATAGATAACTCTTTTCTGATGTTATGTGGCTGATTACTAAGTGCCTCGTTTTCCAAGATGTATTAAGATGCAGCCTGATCAGATGGACTTGAATATACAGTAGAGGATGTGAGTGTGTACAAGGCTGAGGAAAGTGTAGAGAACAAAGTTTTAATCTGGTATAGTGGACCGAATGCAAAAAAATATCAATTATGTTTTGTACTGAATCTTGTGGTAGGTATGTCTGATTTACAGATCCAAAGTAAGCAATGTAATGCATGCCAGGGTCTTGAACTTGTCAAAAATAGTGTCTGTACTTTTTGCTTAAGGGTGTGTGGTAAGCATTTGCCTTTCTCTTTCAAATATACTGCCAGCCAGTTGGTAGAAATGGTCTCTGAATGCAGAAAAGTGCCATTTTTTATTTATTTCTGATCAACAAATCTCAACACTTGCCTCCTCAAGCATACATTGTTTCTGCCATATTTCCCCAAATGTCCAGGTTTACACTTATCTCTTTCCCCCCCCTGAGTGCAGTATTGTGTGAGGGTTTTAGGAGAGTTTACCTGTCTGTGTATCCGCAGGTACAATAAAGAGTTGTGTTGTTGCCGCTGACTGTTGACTTGAAATAGGGCTATGCAACAAGGCGACACTTCATCTGCCCTGTAGCTTTACCGTCTCGAATCTCCAGGTTCAGGCTTTAGTGTGACTGCGACCAAATTTTACATTTATGTATGAAGAGTTGTAAATTGTATATGTATTATATGATGTACAGTTAACTGACACACACTGAGGCACAAATGGCATCAAAGCTGATATATGTGAATCACAGGGCATTTAGAGGTTGGCAAGTTGACTGCATGAAGCCTACCCAGATAGAAACACCCAGAATATAAAACTGTTGGATCAAGTTGTGTTTTTAAATAATTTTAAACTTGCTTGAAAACCAGATACATATTGACTGATACAATGGTTTAGTGTGAGGTATTCTGTCAATAACAGATGGCTAATCTAACATTTCTGTATGGTTAGAGTTCTAGGTAAAGAGCTGACCGGCCATTTAGGAAACCCCAGACCCGAGCTTAAATTGAGCTTTTCCCCCCTTTTCTGCAACATGTTGGCTCCACTCTTTCCCACTTTCCTTTGGGCAAGACCAATACCAACAATAGTATGTTTTTAAACATTTGTGAAACAATGGGTCTTACTGCCCATTAGATATATCAGACTTTTGATGAAATACTTATTGGTAGATAAATAGAAATTAGAGTAATATATTTTGTTGCGATAAAGAAAAAATATTTTGTCAAAACGGGATTATGGGTGGCTATTTAAAAACTAAAATGTTTGCACATTTATAGAAAGATTATTTATCAGTATTTTGAATCAAAATACAGATTAGATCTTCAAGGTGTCTAAATCTCTTGGTGCATGTTGAATCTAAGCAAGTTTAAGAACATGTAAATGATTTGCTAACATGATTTGATCCAATTATTTCCCTAACCCTAACTTCCTGTTGTCCCATATGTGTGCAATCTATTTGATGGATCATCTAAAAGGAGCTGTTTTAGACTTTAAAGCAATAAGGTCTAACTGTAGGCGTGGCTCTGGTATGTGTAAAGGTAACGTAATAGATTGCTTGTTGTCTTTAAAAAAAGCTGTACGTTGCCTAATGGAGTAGAGATTGGTGTTCATCTCTAAAGTAGATTTTTCAAAACAACATTTCCAGACCTCCAACGAGCGTGACATGAACAGGGTGCCAAGTTTTCCTCTTACACTTTTACTCTTGACTGCCCCCTCTGGACATGTCCGGGATTGCATGTTCTGAAATGAAAATGTGCATGTGCAAAAAAAAGAAGAGGAATTGTTTGACTTCATTCAGTCCATGATTTGTACCCTTTGTTTCCTTGTTGTATTTTCTGATTATCTAAACATACAATGTATCTGTTTCAGGTAAAGACAGAAAAAGAGAGCTTGAATAACATTTAATTGCCACCAAAGTGGAAACAAGGCTCTTTCTCAGAAAAGAGATTCTGGAATGGCTGAATCCTTCGCTGCCTGATCTGTTACTTGACTGTCTCTCCCACAGTTATTTTTGACTGTACCTATAGATTTTATATGAATATAAGTCCTTGAATAAAGAGGTATGATTATGAAATTGCAACATGAAGTCTCTGAAGATTGCATTGACATGTTTTGGGATTAGGGTCGGGTTTCCAAAGCATTTTATTGAATTTGAATCCAGTTTCAAAATCTGATACTCCATATTCCCGATTTAATCTTGTTATACGTAGCTTTTGGCAACTTTTAAGTAACAGCAATTGCAAATAACTTAATATGAAAGTTAGAACATAAGGTTTCACATTTAAACTGCCAGATAGATTATTGAGCGAAATGAACACATGTATGTTTTACCATTGCTTTTTGCCAAAGTAATATGAGGTTAAGATTCAATAAGAGACTAATTGGAGGTGAATTGAAGCAGATGAAATAAGAAACCCACATACAGTCCAGTCCAGTACAAGATAGGTAACATAGTTTGAAGTGTAAGTGTTTGTAATTATGATGTGGAATTGGTGCCATTATGACAAATCTAACGGTTAATCCATCAGATATACATTGTGCTGGTTTCCAGGAGTACCCCTTAAAGTAGATATATATTAGGAAGTATACATGTACATGCTTAGTGTTGGATACGTTTGATACTGCAGTCCTATGCTCTATGCATATTATAATGTATGATGTCCTTATAATGTATGATGTCCTTTATTGTTTTATGTTTCATGTGGAACCTATATGCTGCAAGTCTCCCTTGAAAAAGAGATCTATGATCTCAATGGGACCAATCTCGTTAAATAAAGGTTTGAAATGAAATGCAAACTCAAACAGTACACATAGAAAAATAACCTTCCCAGGGTATACCTTAATCTGTTATAAAATAAACAATATTTGAAGGTTGAAAAGGGGAGAATATAATATTAACAAAATTACTATTTGTAATCCAGAATGATCCAAAAGGATGACGTTGCAGATATAAAAGCAAACCGTGTATATCAATCCCTATCAATACACCTTTGCAAATTAAACCAGTATGTACAATAATTGCTAACCAACTAAATAAATACATAAATAAAGAGCAATTTCATGTTGAATCACTCAGCACTGTCAACAGATTATGTGATTCCTTATTAGTCATTAATCTGCAGCAGTGATGAAAGGTCCAACGAATTATTTGACATTTAAGAAAAATGATCTATCTCTCTAATTGAAAATCAACACTTTGTTAAGGCGTCAGACAGTCGTTAAAACAAATGGGCGGAGGTCCTGCAGGATTTTATTGGTTTGCATTTTAGGAAAGGGGCGTGGCCTCTGCTGGCTGGTTTGGCGCTTCTGTGATGAGCTGCTGCTGCAGGGGGAGAGAAGCTGCTGTCTGAGGAGAGGAGAGCTGGAGAGGATGACAAGTTAGTCCAAGTTAAAGAACAAAAAGTGCCGTTAAACAATGTTCCTCACTTTTGAGGACTAATGACAGCCTCTCTATATATATTTTTCATTTCCATTTCACGTTTTGGTGCTCTTTCTTGCATGTCTTAAACTCTTAATTGCAAAGGTAATTAGCGCGTGAAGATGTTCTGCAGGTTGCTAAAATGGACACTTTGCCTCCTCGGGCTCATGAGCACGAGCACCGCCTCACCGGACGATGCACCGGGGGAGTTTGGAGGAGAGTCCGGCTCTGGGATGCTGCAGACAGGTAAGAGTGGTGTTGCACCTGCCGAGCCTTTTAACTATTGGAAGTTAAATATCAGTGCAGAATAGACGTGGTACTTTGTTTCAAGGCATTATTCTTCAGCAGGTGTGAAGCATCAAAAATGTCCCAGGCCTTAATTTAAGTGGACATTTGCTATTGGTGGTAATGTTACTTGGAGTATTTCATGAAACACTTTACATTTCTAACCCAACAAACACTTAAACTAAAGCCACACAGCCTTTCTTTTAAAGTAAATTGACTTACAACCAAATTACTTTTAGCTAGCTGCCTTGAAATTAATTAACTAGCAGTGGTAGAGCACAAAAACAGATAAAAGATGGGTGTTTTTTGTTATTAGATAATTAGCTGCCCTTAAACTCAAGAAATCTCTGTAACTATATCCACAGGAGTTGGAAGTTCATTAAGTTATAGGTACATGTGGAAAATAGTAGTTATTTACAAATGCTATGTAAAGACAACTATTGCCCTGCAGTACCCACATAATGCTTTTGTCACATGGTACTTATCTTCACCATCACCATTCACGTATTCTGTGATTCCCCATTGTCATACCAGATGTAATGAATGCACAATATCAACTGTGAATACTCATTAACACCCTGTCACACCAGCACACTGATAAGTCATATTTTATCAGCTGGAGTTCATTACATTATTTGTTCAGTGCATTTTGAGTCCAGATGAAAATCTTCTACTTCTCATCATCCACCCCTCAAATACTCAGCAGCTTCGTTAGTCCAACATTGATGCTGTTAACTCTCTATATTTTCATTCCAATACTCTGGTGTGTGACCAAACCCAAAACACGTGTAGATTGAATCGTTTGTTTGACAAGCTGTGAAGACGAAATACAGACCACAATGAAACAATAAGGCTTTTTTTTTTAACTGCAAGGCAATTGGTCGTTTTATTTTTTCAATTGGTTTAACAGTTTCTCAAAGGAAAATAAAATAACACTATTAAAACATGTTACTACTCACTTATAAGAAGATTCAACTTATTCTCAATACGTAGTACAACTATGTAACAAAACGGTTTCTCTACATTTGACCCATCCTAGTGTTAGGAGCAGTGGGCTGCCATTATTTACGGCGCCCGGGGAGCAGTGTAGGGAACGGTGCCTTGCTCAGGGACACCTCGGTAGCACTTGGTCTTTCCGGGACTTGAACTGGTGACTTTCCAGTTGCCATGCCAATTCCCTATGGACTTCGCCACCACCGTCATTCAACTGACCAACCTACTGATACAAGTCCACTCATAAATGTGAAGACATTAACACCCAAATCTTCGTTTTTAATGCTGTTCACATTGTAAAATGCCTTATGCCTGATTTGCGTCCAGGAACCGTCTTGAGTAGGCACCTTCATTGTCAAAAAACACCTGGCCAATGGTGCAAAACCATTTAAAAACACTTTATGTTTTTAAATTGAATTGAAAACACCACTTGATTGATACATGTGTTTTTGACATGGCCCTAAAGAGATGATGTGACTTGCTGAATACATCACGCACACAAGATTTTGTTATTCTGCATACAGTAAAACACATGTGGAAAGTGAAGCCAAAACTCATCTACAGTTATTAAATCCAATGGAATGCTTTCATTCTGCCAAGCAGACTGAGTAAATCACAACATCATTTTCCACAGCCAGCTCTGTTGTCCCATCAGTGTTTTCAGTGTCTGGATCTCCTTTGTTTTATCAGTGACTGTTGATACAGTGATAGCCGTGTGTCGGCTCTAGCTTTACATCGTGTTTCTGAGCTTGTTTAATCCACGATGACCTGTTGAGGTTGATCTCAGATTGGATCTCTGCCAGGCGCCCAACCATGTTGAGTCTGGATTCCACAGCGTCACACATGCCATCACTTGAGTCACAAAGCTGACCCAAACAGAGATGTGAGAGCAGGGAACAGCTGACAGTTTGGATAAGACTGCTGAGCGTGTTGATTGAACCCTGCCTGTTGAATCTCTTCACTGTGTTTACATTGAGTTATTGGAGATGGCAGAGAGTGAAAGCATTGTGTAAACTGTCAATGGATATCAATGTGCAGACGGATGTGTATGTTCTGCTGTGATGATCCCCTGTTGTTCGGTTTCTCCTGATAAATCTCACCCATTAGTAATTGTGTGATTTGTGCAAACCCAAAGAATCAACACCTTCATATGAGAAAAAACAGACTGTAAAGGATAATGAGTTTATTCTTGCGCCATTTGTGGATTGTATCAAACAATGTGGAGCTCTGTCTCAGGAGGTAGAGCAGGTTCACCAATAACCACAGCATGCATGTCATCGGTGTGGAGACGTGTGAATGTTTGTGTGAATGGGTGAAGGAGCAGATAATTGTAAGTACTTTGGGTAATTCAATAAACCAATTCTGACTCACAAGATAAAATGACTGTAATTGCAGTTTTCAGTCAATGCCAAACTTGCTGCAGGCTCTTCAATATACCTTACACACCTTTTAATGTAAACTCGAAACACATGTTTTATAGGGCCTTATATATCGTGGTTGTACCCATTAGGGAGAAAGCTTTTTTTAAGTAGTGTTGTCTATATATAGCAACTTTCAAGTAGCCTAAATCACAAAGACCTAAAGAAAAGTGCATGAGGGAACAGGAGAACCCACCTGATGATCTGTTGTACATTTACCATCCTATTTATGACTGTAATGAATCATATTCTGTCTGTTTTTGAAGCATTCCTTTTCACTCAGAAGTTTGATTAACTACTTTCATTTATGTAATGACCATTCAAACCTTTATCCCAGCTCTGATTTGACTTTGAAGCCTGTGTTGACAGCAGTATGCACCATTCAGCCTGGTAGTAAATCAATTGCTGGACAGACCTTAAATCCTCCAAACTGTCCAAAATATCTTATTGGCTCCAATGATTCACTGGAGAAAAAAAGATTGTTAGTTTTCTGAACCTACAGTAGTGTGGATGCAATTCTCTGTGTAGTTAAATGTGCATGAGGGAAAGATTTTGGGCACAGTTGCCTGCCTTCACCTCTGTAGCTCCTTGAATTTAGGCGTCAGGCGTCTCTGTCATTTCCAATCCATACATTCTTTCATAAGTCCATTCATTCTTCAAGTTGGCCATTCTTTCAGTCAGCCACGTCCAGCTGTTTTATGTGATTCCCATATGTCAGGAATAGCTTACTGTAACCTCTGGCCCTATGAGATGGGTATCACTGGAGCACATTATGCAGAACAGCTGTTGGGAAGACTTTTGTGAGGTTCAAAAGGTGTGCCTGTGTCTGAGTGTCTTCATACTTCTCAACATCAGCCATCCACTCACCTTACTGCTACTCCGGCACTACCACTTTCTTCAGAAGTAGGAATGGCAGTCTAACCTTCTTGACCTTATGTGAGAATGTTAATAGAGCTCTGACAGTGAGGTGCTCTAAGCTGTGTCTCAAATGCACAGTAGTGCACACGTTGGAAATTTGGGAAGGCATCAATTGACGGACTATGCTTTAGATTATGCAACTTCAAACAGGTTTCTGCCCTGCTAACCTGGGGCATTTACATGTCAGTCAGTCTGTCTTGCACTTCAAAACCCTACAGAAGAAATCTCCAAGCTAAAGCTAGATTGCCAAAACATTTGATGAATCATTTTGTGAATTACATTTAAGTAAAGTTGGATAGAAAGGACCCTCTGACCGTTACAAATGGGGCAAAAGTTGTTACATTACATTTGCTCGGTACTGTATGTTCGCGCTACCAATATAATACCTTCAAGATTTCATTGGCACCTATCCTGTAGCCCCACTATTTAGGACTCACTTCATACCATTTGCCTTGCATCAAACATTGCAAACTCCACAGGTTAGAATTAAAAGGTTAAGTTATATCTATATATTCTTCTTATGCAAACTCATTAACTGAAATGAATGACAATCCAAGTAATGGATTAAGAAGAAGAAGTAGATAATATGTTGGGGAGGCGTGTGGCGCAGTGGATAGAGCCTTGGTGTTGGGGGTCACAGGTTCAAACCCCACTGCAGTCAGCATGTCGTTGTGTCCCTGAGACCCTTCACCCCAAATTGCTCCTGTGGGGATTGCCCACAGTATTGAGTATGTAAGTCACTTTGGATAAAAGCGTCTAACAAGTAACATGTACTGTAATGTAATATTAAAAGTGTAATACAGAAGTCTTTTCATACTCCCTATACTGTATGAGGGGTCATCATTTAAATCAATTTGGTAGACTATGCATTGCTTACAGTATGATGTCAGATCACCAATCCCTTAACCCAGATCAAAAGCACAGTACCCACCATCTTCCAGCAGGTTGAGCTCATGATGTCATTGCCATAAACCACCAGATCCACGAGCAGGCATCTGCATCCAATGAAACGTGATCTTGGGCTTAGTGCTTGGTGAGCCCTGATCTGTGCTCCATTAGCCAGCTTTAACCAGGCAGAGGCCCACATGATGTGGCATGCATGGTGTAACATTCCCAACACTATACACAGACTAAACACACTGGGTCCTCGTCCTGGTTCTGGGTGTGGAGTAGGTCACAGCTTGTGGGTTGGGTTTGTGTGAAAGAAAAAGTGGGTGGAGGGGGCTAGGTGCACACCATATGTTGGATCAGAACCCCCTTCCTCATCTGTATTCTCTTTTCAAGCCAACTAAAACCAGATGGCAGATAGTTGATAGTGTTCAGAGAGAGTTCGTCAGATGTTGACCGTTAACAATGAATAAAAGAAGGGGCTTTTTATTTTCTTTAACATCAACAACAATGTCACAGTGACCACTTGTTTGTGTCGTTTCTCAATATGTCTCCCATCACTCAGTAACTGCTAATAGCCTGTTATACACAAACTGACACATTTATATGGAAAAGGATATTTAATTCTGTTTGTGGTTACGCTTGACTCAAGTGACAACACTTCATATTTTCCATTCTGTTCACCACTACACTACGCTTATTTGCAGCTTGCCAGTGTTGAACACCTGCCTTATGGTGTTGAGA